TTCATAACTTTTTGAGCTGGAGTTCCCGTCAATCAAAAAAATTTCTTTTTTGAAAAAAACGCATTTGAACATTACTGAAAATTAGAAATTTGAGAAAGTTGTCAATAATGCTTTCTGATCTATCAGCGATTCGAGCACCAGTCTCCAGGAAGGACAACAGTCCTTCCTCACAGTAGGCATCATTCTGAGCTTGCATCTGTTCTTTTCTTGCTTAATAAGTGACTGAACGAGTGCTTCACCCCACTTCCTGTACGCCCGTGGGCTGACCCAATGGACGTTCGGTTTTAGACACATAAAATCGGAACGAATAGGAATATAGTTTTGAAATGTATTCTTGAATAGTTTTCCAAACAATTTATATAATAAAAAAAAATCCTATTTTTTGAACCTCCTAATGTGACTTAAATGAGACATCCCTAAAATTGTGTTAGTCATTTACGAAAAAATTTTGTTAGAAAATGGTCAGATCTACGATATAAATTGAAAAGCATTTTTTTATTGCAAAATAGTCGCCGACATTGAAAAAGTAGTCATTTCTATAGGTAAAACATTAAAAATGTGTTTTTACTGTCAAAAACATTTTTATATAACCTTTTATAACAAGCAAGCAGATTTTATTAAATTTTGAATAATATAATTTGTTATTTTATACTTTAATTCATAATTTACTAATTGTATAGCAAAATTAAAAGTGTTCTATTGTAGTCTTAAACTGTTTTTTTAAAACGAATAATTTTAGTTATTTTCGATTTATTAACTGTCACTTTAATAAAAAAAAAATCAAACCTCTACAACAACTCATTCTTCGAACAAACTGTAAAAAATCTTTTGTGTTAGAAATTCCATTGGCAGTAAAAAGTTCTAATTGATTTTGAAGACTACTCATTGGTTTTAAAATTCTGAGGCTCCTAGAGGTACTGACTGCTCGAATCTGCCACTGTTGACATCATTGTCATTTAGCGTGATTTTACTTCCACTTAGATAATTTAGTGGCCCCAGTTGCATGAGTCTACATCAAACATCCTAAGAGATATTTCAGAAAATGTGATATATTTTTCCAATTTTGGCATCGTATAACTCAAAAACCAAGCGAACTATGATCCATGTTCTGTAAAACTTTCTATTTAAAATAACTTTTTCTGCAACCCCTTGGAGAAATATACTTATTTCAGAACCATCCTTTATATCAAGGGTTGGCAACTGGCGGACCGCGGTCCAGATCCGGACCGCGGAAGGTAAAATACTGGACCGCCAAAAATTTTTTTAAAGTATAAATTACTCAGATAAGTTATTTAAAAAATGTTTTTTACGTTTAAGTGCCAATCTTATTATTTTTTCTAGTATTTTACAATTTTGTGAGTGTGTGAGTTCTTAATGGTTAGTAAGCAGATTAAATTTGAGTCCAAATTAAAATAAAAAAATGAGAAATATGAATTTTTTTTCTGGACCTCGTTAAAAATTTTCAAAAGTATCCGGACCCCACCTAAAATTACTTGCCGACNAAATAGCTGCGATTTTTCGGAACAGCTCCTGGTAGCGCGCGCATACATTCCTACCGTGATATTGTTCCCTTATTTCCGCGTCAGAGTTCATAAATCGACACCTGTAGTGCTTAATAGCGGCTAGCGTTAGGGATACTTTCGTTATGCGCTGTTTTTCAAGCATGTCATGTGCCAACTTTCGTAGATTTAGCTCAATTTGGTATTTCGCTTTCGCATTATTTATTTGAATTTGATATAGCGTCGTGACCCGTTATTTTGTCTTAAATTACTACTAATAAATTTTTATTAGAAATAAAATTGGAAATGGATAAACGAAGAAAATCTCCTGTGGAATTTATTTTTACCAACGCAATAACGCATGAAAGTAAACCTTGTTGTAGTATATGCAAGCAAAATATTTGTTATAAATCTTCAATCACCAGTTTAAAAAGACACATAGAACGACGACATCATACAGTGAGTACAGTGCCAGATATTCAAAATTTTTCCGCGAGTGCAACAAAAACAAATGAACAGTCGCATGTTTTTTGCTGTCTAAGTGATTTTGTCGCGTTTGATTTTTGTCTTTAAATCAAACGCGACTGTACTGAGACTGTATTATATGTTTAGTGTGTGACACTGTGACTAATTCAAGCGCAGACCGCAACGGCTGAGTGAGAATCTGCTCTGCTGTGGCCGGCACGTCTGAGCGCTAGTAAATTGCACTTTGAAGTAAACGCTCCGAAAAATCACCGCTTCTTTTGTCGCAGCGGAACAGTCAGCTCCAGTGACAACTGCGGAACAGTGCCAAAGTAGCAGACAGTGAAAGAGCAACACATCTCTACTGTTTATATGTTTTGTGCTTTACATTTTCGCCAATAGCACCAAGGAAAAATAAAACAACGTCGGTGTCGTTCACATATGTCGTTATCAAGAATGTCAAGTGTCAAGCGTCATCTAACCTTATAAATATTTGTTTGTCTTAAAATTAAAATAAGCCAAATTTATAATCATGGAATCATCAAACGAAGCTGACTTAGATGTGGACATGGCAGAAGTTAAAAGAGTTCTAGATGGTAATTGAATTAAATATATTAAAAAGCGAATTCTTTGGATTGTCATTTTCGCGGTTTTTTTATCCAAATCCAAAACAGAATAAATTCAATACTAATCTTGATATATTTCAGATGCAAATATGTTTGAACCCAATATGTCAAAGGATAATATGTTGTCCTATTATAAAGTTTTAATAAATTCAAAAAGTACTGCATCGGAAGAAGATCATACAAGACGACTCAACGAAAGTCAGGAAGAACTTATGAGTCTTCTTGAAGAAGAAAATGTAGAAAATACTCCAGCGAAAAGTAAAGAAAAGCCATTTATACCAAAGGCCTGGACTTCGGAAAAGAAACCTTCAGAAAGTGCCTTGGAACATAATAATAATGAAAATATTTTAGAAGATAACATAGATGATATAATTAATGATTCGCCTAAAGATGCCACTAAAGTGACATTTGGTTTTAATGAAATGGCAAAAGATTCAGAATACACCATAACCTTAATTACTCATGAATTAAAATTTGTACCAATACAAAGTACAGCCAAATTTTTAAACGCTGGAACAGCTTTAAAAGCAAAAATGTTGTATGCGTACCACACAAAAATGAATAAAATGAAGACAGAATTGGCAAGGACATCTTTTTATCCAGCTCCCCTGCCCAAGATTACGAGTACAACAGAGACTTTCCCAAGCTTTTCTGACAGTGATGTCCCAGCAACTTATACTTGCCGTTCTGGACGTCAGACGAAAAGGAAAGTTTATAACTACGATGATGACGATGACAGCTTAGATGGTATTACTAACAAAAAAGTGAAGAATTCAGATGAACAGGAGTGGTTAAATAAATCAACTCCAATTAAGAGCACTGTGCGAACACATAAAAAGCAAGAAACTAATAAAATTGGTGCAGAATTTAAGACTGAATCTGAAGGTACATTAAGTTTTTTTGTATACTAATGAAAAGAATTAATGAAAACTTAGAAATTAAAAACTGGTATAATCAGAACATAATCTTACAATACAGAAGCCTATTTATTTCAATTTTTCAGTTTTATCGATGTTGTAGGAAAGGACTAGATTTGCTTTCAACAAAAATTATATGTGTTTTATAAAATAATAATGAGAGCCTTAAATTTTATTTTTAACTGCTGTAATCTACATACTCCTCCGTTTGAAAAAAAAAAGTAACAGCTGGAATATACGAGACATCCTGTTTAGTAGAAAATAATTTAAAATGNAGAAACCTTCAGAAAGTGCCTTGGAACATAATAATAATGAAAATATTTTAGAAGATAACATAGATGATATAATTAATGATTCGCCTAAAGATGCCACTAAAGTGACATTTGGTTTTAATGAAATGGCAAAAGATTCAGAATACACCATAACCTTAATTACTCATGAATTAAAATTTGTACCAATACAAAGTACAGCCAAATTTTTAAACGCTGGAACAGCTTTAAAAGCAAAAATGTTGTATGCGTACCACACAAAAATGAATAAAATGAAGACAGAATTGGCAAGGACATCTTTTTATCCAGCTCCCCTGCCCAAGATTACGAGTACAACAGAGACTTTCCCAAGCTTTTCTGACAGTGATGTCCCAGCAACTTATACTTGCCGTTCTGGACGTCAGACGAAAAGGAAAGTTTATAACTACGATGATGACGATGACAGCTTAGATGGTATTACTAACAAAAAAGTGAAGAATTCAGATGAACAGGAGTGGTTAAATAAATCAACTCCAATTAAGAGCACTGTGCGAACACATAAAAAGCAAGAAACTAATAAAATTGGTGCAGAATTTAAGACTGAATCTGAAGGTACATTAAGTTTTTTTGTATACTAATGAAAAGAATTAATGAAAACTTAGAAATTAAAAACTGGTATAATCAGAACATAATCTTACAATACAGAAGCCTATTTATTTCAATTTTTCAGTTTTATCGATGTTGTAGGAAAGGACTAGATTTGCTTTCAACAAAAATTATGTGTTTTATAAAATAATAATGTGAGCCTTAAATTTTATTTTTAACTGCTGTAATCTACATACTCCTCCGTTTGAAAAAAAAAGTAACAGCTGGAATATACGAGACATCCTGTTTAGTAGAAAATAATTTAAAATGCTTAGAAATGTATTTGATGCTTTTATCACTTTTTTTCGTATTATTACAAGAGCTTCAGATGAAAACTCTTAAGGGAGGAAACCACATTAGGAGGCTGATTTTCAGGCATTTCTTATGGATTTTTTGAGTGAATTAGAATTTGATGCAACTTTGACATTATTTTATCAATATTTTGAACTACATTTACAAATTTTTTCAAGTCGTGTTAAAAATACCGAAGTAATGGGCTGTTGTTCAACGAAGGTCGTCATCCGAGTTGGTTGTTCACGGGAAATGTGGAGGTCGCAATTTTGAATAAAAAACACCCTGAAATTTATGATATCATCAATTGTTGGTGCAGGTTCTTTGTAATTTCATAAAGAAACACACTTTCAATTTTCATATCGATCGCTTCATAACTTTTTGAGCTGGAGTTCCCGTCAATCAAAAAAATTACTTTTTTGAAAAAAACGCATTTAAACATTACCGAAAATTAGAAATTTGAGTAAGCTGTCAGTAATGCTTTCTGATCTATCAGCGATTCCAGCACCATATAACAGTCCTTCTTCCTCACAGTAGGCATCATTCTGAGCTTGCATCTGTATAGCTCTCAGTGTGATAAAATGTATTAAACATCCAGTATTTTCTAAGCATAAGCACAGAGATTTTGGAAATATAATAATTCTGTATTTTCTAGATATCAATAAAGAAAAGAAAAATATCCCGAAAAAGGAAACTAGAACTACTTTATCTCGAAAATTGTCTAATGCGGAAATTATGAAACGTAGTAATATATTTGGTGATTTGCCAAAGCGTAGATGTGAGGCGATGTTTGACAAATTAAAAGAAGAGGAAGAAAAGAAGGAGAAAGAGGAAAAAACTATGGAGGCATTTAATAAAACCTTGGAAAAATTAGATGAAGAAAATATTGAGGCCTCATCGAATGAAGAAATTATTACAGTTGAAGATGAGGAATTTGTTAAAAGAAGGGTTGTTCCTCCTTTACCAAGAAAATTAATCAACAGAAAAAGACACAATCCTGAAGGTAATTTTTTCATACTTGTTGTAATGTTGTAATGTTTTTAATTCTTAGCAATATACATGGTGTCCTATGAGGTAGTGCACAAAATTTAGGGCAACATTTCTCAACTAATAATCAGCAAAAAAGTTTATATAAATCTTGGCCTACAAATTATTTTTTTTAAATATTTCAAGATTGCATAATGATAACTTCAAATTTGTTACGATATTGCGTATCTTTAGCAATTACGAAACTATGTCACTAATTCTGCATGATCATAAACATGAAACGTGTGAGTCCTACACTGCATAGAATCTAAACTTAACAGTACTATTCTTCTTAAAGTAACTTTTTTTATAGTTATATTTTAATATGTGACAGTTACAGTCAAATTGAAACCTTAGTTATTGCAATTTGTTTAAAACTGGATCAGGTTAATTGTTCTTTCTTTCTTTCTTAATGTAATTGTTCTCTTTTTACAGACTTTAACATTGCAATTCCTGTCACATGATACAAAATTGTTTTTAGGAAAGTGGTTGTGCTGTTAAAAGGGATGGTATCTCTTCTGCCAATTTGTCAACATCATTTTGACATCATTATATTTTACTTCCTTCTGAAAGTAAAATTATACACGTTCCGAAATTCACGTAATAGTTACACTGAACGATATCTTTTCGACTTACTACTGATCTGCATATTAAAAATGAATTGTCATTGTCACTACCAAAAAAACTAAATACAGGGTGTTTCAGACTAACGTGTACAGCGGACGACCACACAAAAATGAAGTAACATGGTATATTTTATCGTAGTAAACACTCATTAAGAATTGGNCAATCACCAATTTAAAAAGACACATAGAACGACGACATCATACAGTGAGTACAGTGCCAGATATTCAAAATTTTTCCGCGAGTGCAACAAAAACAAATGAACAGTCGCATGTTTTTTGCTGTCTAAGTGATTTTGTCGCGTTTGATTTTTGTCTTTAAATCAAACGCGACTGTACTGAGACTGTATTATATGTTTAGTGTGTGACACTGTGACTAATTCAAGCGCAGACCGCAACGGCTGAGTGAGAATCTGCTCTGCTGTGGCCGGCACGTCTGAGCGCTAGTAAATTGCACTTTGAAGTAAACGCTCCGAAAAATCACCGCTTCTTTTGTCGCAGCGGAACAGTCAGCTCCAGTGACAACTGCGGAACAGTGCCAAAGTAGCAGACAGTGAAAGAGCAACACATCTCTACTGTTTATATGTTTTGTGCTTTACATTTTCGCCAATAGCACCAAGGAAAAATAAAACAACGGCGGTGTCGTTCACATATGTCGTTATCAAGAATGTCAAGTGTCAAGCGTCATCTAACCTTATAAATATTTGTTTGTCTTAAAATTAAAATAAGCCAAATTTATAATCATGGAATCATCAAACGAAGCTGACTTAGATGTGGACATGGCAGAAGTTAAAAGAGTTCTAGATGGTAATTGAATTAAATATATTAAAAAGCGAATTCTTTGGATTGTCATTTTCGCGGTTTTTTTATCCAAATCCAAAACAGAATAAATTCAATACTAATCTTGATATATTTCAGATGCAAATATGTTTGAACCCAATATGTCAAAGGATAATATGTTGTCCTATTATAAAGTTTTAATAAATTCAAAAAGTACTGCATCGGAAGAAGATCATACAAGACGACTCAACGAAAGTCAGGAAGAACTTATGAGTCTTCTTGAAGAAGAAAATGTAGAAAATACTCCAGCGAAAAGTAAAGAAAAGCCATTTATACCAAAGGCCTGGACTTCGGAAAAGAAACCTTCAGAAAGTGCCTTGGAACATAATAATAATGAAAATATTTTAGAAGATAACATAGATGATATAATTAATGATTCGCCTAAAGATGCCACTAAAGTGACATTTGGTTTTAATGAAATGGCAAAAGATTCAGAATACACCATAACCTTAATTACTCATGAATTAAAATTTGTACCAATACAAAGTACAGCCAAATTTTTAAACGCTGGAACAGCTTTAAAAGCAAAAATGTTGTATGCGTACCACACAAAAATGAATAAAATGAAGACAGAATTGGCAAGGACATCTTTTTATCCAGCTCCCCTGCCCAAGATTACGAGTACAACAGAGACTTTCCCAAGCTTTTCTGACAGTGATGTCCCAGCAACTTATACTTGCCGTTCTGGACGTCAGACGAAAAGGAAAGTTTATAACTACGATGATGACGATGACAGCTTAGATGGTATTACTAACAAAAAAGTGAAGAATTCAGATGAACAGGAGTGGTTAAATAAATCAACTCCAATTAAGAGCACTGTGCGAACACATAAAAAGCAAGAAACTAATAAAATTGGTGCAGAATTTAAGACTGAATCTGAAGGTACATTAAGTTTTTTTGTATACTAATGAAAAGAATTAATGAAAACTTAGAAATTAAAAACTGGTATAATCAGAACATAATCTTACAATACAGAAGCCTATTTATTTCAATTTTTCAGTTTTATCGATGTTGTAGGAAAGGACTAGATTTGCTTTCAACAAAAATTATATGTGTTTTATAAAATAATAATGAGAGCCTTAAATTTTATTTTTAACTGCTGTAATCTACATACTCCTCCGTTTGAAAAAAAAAGTAACAGCTGGAATATACGAGACATCCTGTTTAGTAGAAAATAATTTAAAATGCTTAGAAATGTATTTGATGCTTTTATCACTTTTTTTCATATTATTACAAGAGCTTCAGATGAAAACTCTTAAGGGAGGAAACCACATTAGGAGGCTGATTTTCAGGCATTTCTTATGGATTTTTTGAGTGAATTAGAATTTGATGAAACTTTGACATTATTTTATCAATATTTTGAACTACATTTACAAATTTTTTCAAGTCGTGTTAAAAATACCGAAGTAATGGGCTGTTGTTCAACGAAGGTCGTCATCCGAGTTGGTTGTTCACGGGAAATGTGGAGGTCGCAATTTTGAATAAAAAACACCCTGAAATTTATGATATCATCAATTGTTGGTGCAGGTTCTTTGTAATTTCATAAAGAAACACACTTTCAATTTTCATATCGATCGCTTCATAACTTTTTGAGCTGGAGTTCCCGTCAATCAAAAAAATTACTTTTTTGAAAAAAACGCATTTAAACATTACCGAAAATTAGAAATTTGAGTAAGCTGTCAGTAATGCTTTCTGATCTATCAGCGATTCCAGCACCATATAACAGTCCTTCTTCCTCACAGTAGGCATCATTCTGAGCTTGCATCTGTATAGCTCTCAGTGTGATAAAATGTATTAAACATCCAGTATTTTCTAAGCATAAGCACAGAGATTTTGGAAATATAATAATTCTGTATTTTCTAGATATCAATAAAGAAAAGAAAAATATCCCGAAAAAGGAAACTAGAACTGCTTTGTCTCGAAAATTGTCTAATGCGGAAATTATGAAACGTAGTAATATATTTGGTGATTTGCCAAAGCGTAGATGTGAGGCGATGTTTGACAAATTAAAAGAAGAGGAAGAAAAGAAGGAGAAAGAGGAAAAAACTATGGAGGCATTTAATAAAACCTTGGAAAAATTAGATGAAGAAAATATTGAGGCCTCATCGAATGAAGAAATTATTACAGTTGAAGATGAGGAATTCGTTAAAAGAAGGGTCGTTCCTCCTTTACCAAGAAAATTAATCAACAGAAAAAGACACAATCCTGAAGGTAATTTTTTCATACTTGTTGTAATGTTGTAATGTTTTTAATTCTTAGCAATATACATGGTGTCCTATGAGGTAGTGCACAAAATTTAGGGCAACATTTCTCAACTAATAATCAGCAAAAGAGTTTATATAAATCTTGGCCTACAAATTATTTTTTTTAAATATTTCAAGATTGCATAATGATAACTTCAAATTTGTTACGATATTGCGTATCTTTAGCAATTACGAAACTATGTCACTAATTCTGCATGATCATAAACATGAAACGTGTGAGTCCTACACTGCATAGAATCTAAACTTAACAGTACTATTCTTCTTAAAGTAACTTTTTTTATAGTTATATTTTAATACATGACAGTTACAGTCAAATTGAAACCTTAGTTATTGCAATTTGTTTAAAACTGGATCAGGTTAATTGTTCTTTCTTTCTTTCTTAATGTAATTGTTCTCTTTTTACAGACTTTAACATTGCAATTCCTGTCACATGATACAAAATTGTTTTTAGGAAAGTGGTTGTGCTGTTAAAAGGGATGGTATCTCTTCTGCCAATTTGTCAACATCATTTTGACATCATTATATTTTACTTCCTTCTGAAAGTAAAATTATACACGTTCCGAAATTCACGTAATAGTTACACTGAACGATATCTTTTCGACTTACTACTGATCTGCATATTAAAAATGAATTGTCATTGTCACTACCAAAAAAACTAAATACAGGGTGTTTCAGACTAACGTGTACAGCGGACGACCACACAAAAATGAAGTAACATGGTATATTTTATCGTAGTAAACACTCATTAAGAATTGGTGGGTACAATGATTTAAAGATCAAACAGTTAACCTACAAAATCAGAGGTTACTGGCACTTTGTTAAGTATTATAGTATGGGCGACAAGATAATGTATACATTTAAAAAATATATTTTTGTACCCAAACTGCTCATTTAATCAAAATTTTACAAGAAGCTCAAAAACATCCAAATGGTATCACCTATCAAATAAAAAATAGTTGTCATTATTGCCCAAAAGAGGAAAAAGATATGAACGGAAATTCGTTTACAATGAACAATGACAAACCGTTGCGCCTACGCTCGAGATAATGCGATTGCTGATTCGTTGAATAAAATCTCGTGAAAAGTGCAACACAATGTTGTGTTTTAATCAATGTTGGCAAATATCATAATATTTATATAAATATCAAATATCGGATGTATATCTTGATATATATCCGATATATATATCAAGTCTTGATATTTATTTTTTTTTAATTAATTTATGTATAATATTAAGGTAGCGAAATAAAATTGAGAAACTATTTAGGTAAATATTTGTTGTAAAGAGTAACAAANTTATTTAAAAAATGTTTTTTACGTTTAAGTGCCAATCTTATCATTTTTTCTAGTACTTTACAATTGTGTGAGTGTGTGAGTTCTTAATGGTTAGTAAGCAGATTAAATTTGAGTCCAAATTAAAATAAAAAAATGAGAAATATGAATTTTTTTTCTGGACCTCGTTAAAAATTTTCAAAAGTATCCGGACCCCACCTAAAATTACTTGCCGACCCCTGCTTTATATAAACCAGCCGCTGCAGTTAATATAAAATAAAAAAGAGCACATTGTAGTTAAAAAATTTTAGGATCTGCATGGTTCAATAGGAGTATTAATGATACATATATCATTTTCTATAGAGTGGCCATTGGTCCTTTAAAAATGCATAAAGTTCTCTCCTATTTATTTTACACTTAAAACTAAAAAAAATTATTTAGTTTTAATCAGTGGCTCTCTTTGTTGTGGTTGCATATGCCATAGTAAGTTCACCAAATTTAATACCATGCTAAGTCCTGAAGCCTTGTCTAAGCCTCATCTCTAGGGTGTCTATACAGGGTGTAACATTAAATGGGGGATCAGTTTTTTAGGGGTAATAGTATGTGTTTAATCAAATAAATAGTCGAATAATAATTAGTTTTTTAAAATGCACTTTAATTCTTGTGTACGCGGCCCCTGTAATACTCCTGCATTTATAACAAGATTGTTGGCAATCTACAGTGCATGTGAAAGGAGATAGTGCGGGTCAACGGTGACGAAACGAGGGGGGTTAGTTGTTGCTGTTGTTGTTCCGCATTTGGAGACAGTACATCTAACTGAATTTGAATCGTTATTAAATTGCAAACGAACTCCTTATCCTGAGGTCCACATGGTTAAAAGTGGCAGGTTACACATTTAAGAGATTATACGAGCTTTGAACGACAATACGCGAATATTGGATGGGAACAAATCCAGAGAAGTGTTATAAAAATCATGTGAATAAACAGATTATTTATTTCTGTGTATTTCATTTATCACTATTGATTAGGTACTGCTTGAGTTTTTTGTTAGGTTGTTAGGCGACTAAAGCACGCCGTTATTTGAGGCTACACTAGCTTATTCAGCAGCAGGGTACTAAAAAAAGGTTAAAAAAAAATTAAGTTTTTACTACCAAATTTGAAAAAATAAATTATTGATAAGTGCTACATTCAAAGTTACACCCTGTATAGAGTTAAGTCTCGAGTCTCGACTCTATGTAAAGACATCATAGAGTTGAGGCGAAACTTCAGTCACTATTTGGTTGGGTGTGTACTGAATGAATGTACCTACTCTTAGAGTCATTTAGTTGAGCTCTGATTAAAGGCATCTTAAAGATTCAAGTATAGCTCTCAGTGTGATAAATTGTATTGAACATCCAGTATTTTCTAAGCATATGCACAGAGATTTTGGAAATATAATAATTCTGTATTTTCTAGATATCAATAAAGAAAGGAAAAATATCCCGAAAAAGGAAACTAGAACTACTTTATCTCGAAAATTGTCTAATGCGGAAATTATGAAACGTAGTAATATATTTGGTGATTTGCCAAAGCGTAGATGTGAGGCGATGTTTGACAAATTAAAAGAAGAGGAAGAAAAGAAGGAGAAAGAGGAAAAAACTATGGAGGCATTTAATAAAACCTTGGAAAAATTAGATGAAGAAAATATTNTGAGAAACTATTTAGGTAAATATTTGTTGTAAAGAGTAACAAATCAGATTTGTGTTTTTAAGGTTGCACTGTTAGGTTAAAGTTCTGTTTAGTTCTGTATTCAGTTCAGTTCAATGGTTAAGACAACGAGAATATATAATACTCTGTGGTTAAGATTTTCTACAAGTTAAAAAACAAAAACAAGAGAATTTGTTGTTGTTTATAGTCTGAGTAGTCTGATTTCAACTGAAAGTTAAAAAGAATTATTGCAACATTTTTATTAATTCCTGGATATAAAAAGAGGGAAATAAACATTTATTTCTCACACGAACTTTTATTTCTGCTGCGACAATATTTTTATTCCAAATATCAAAAACAAGAATGAAAAAATAAATATAAATTCTGAAACTAATAAAAAATATGTATTTGCGTGAATATTAGGTACTACGAAAACTAACCACTTTACATTAAACGTATCAATGGTAAATTATCGTCGGATTCGTCAGAATCGATGGAATGTTCCGATTATTCTTCTGGCAAAGGCTCTGGTGTACTTGAATTTTCCCAAATCCAAACAATATTGTATTTTTTATTTTTTTCTACCTGATTGTTATATTCAAATAAAAATGTAAATTTTCCAGCTTTTTCGTTCCCAAGCCTATTACGTAGTTTCGATTGTACGAGTCCAAATGATGTAAACGTTCTTTCAAGAGATGCGGTAGCCGCAATTGCACTAAGCAGCTGGTAGAAAGGCTTGTTTATTTGGCCAAATTGCATCCTCAATAATAACTCCTTTCCACCACACCATAGGTGGTGTATTTTTTAAGTGAGATCCAAACATATATTTTGGGAATGGTGTAGATTCAGCTAAAAGCACCATTACAAATGGAACAAAATCTGAATTAATTATATTTAAATAAATATAAGCTTGTTCTTTTTGGTGGTTATTCAAACGTTTACCAAAAAATCGACGTACAAAACTAAGGTTATAATATCACCAAATCAACATAAATTTCATAAATATTAGAACTTTGTTGAAAAATTCGGGGAATCACATAAATAAACACGTTCGTCAACGGTTAGCATACGGTTTTGCTGCCATCTGTTAACAGTTTTAGCAACTTTAAAGCAGTAGGAATCGTTATTTAAATTTTTATAAATATCATGATATATAGGGTGAGTCGGAAAGAATGGGTCAACAGTAAACTGGAGATAATAGACACCAAAATATTATGTTTGAGCTCATCATGCTTTATACGAATGTCGCTGGTTTCAGAAATACTGGGTGTTCAAGGTTTCAATTTTATTCTGAAATTTCTCAATAACTGAGATGGTTTTGATATCATGACTCAAACTTGGTAGGGTGGTAGGTTTTTTGGTGTAAAAATTTCGAATTTGAGGTTTATTTTGACGTTGCTCCTAGAGGCGCTAGTTTCACCGTATTATTTAGGTAAATCGGAATATATTTTTTTTATTTGTTGAGCTATGCTTAAAAGAGCTAAAAATCTAAAAGAACGTGCAATTCTACATAAATAATGTACTCTTGTTTAGGTCACCTAACTTTATCGATTTCTCAGTTATTTGCATTTAAAAGTTTCAATGTATTTTGTCGTGATTTTCTTTATATTTTGCTATTTCTTTTCTAAGTAGGTTTGTGTCAAATTTTCATGTCAATAAATATTAACGTATTTTGCGTACGTGTGATTTATTATTCGTGCAAAATTATTTAACTAGTGATCAAAAAATTCCAAGACATAATAATTTTTCCAACAGTGAGATGCAGGATATGATTTGTGTTTTTGCTCTAGCTAATTTTAATGAACATGCGGCAGCCCAAAGATCTGTTCAATTGTACCCAAATAGATTACCTAATTATAAGCCATTCAGAAATCTTTTTAATCGCTTAGGCGGATCTGGATCTTTTCGACCAAAAAGGTACTCCAAAATCTATCACAGTCGATGAAGAAGAGAAAATTTTACTACTCATACTCGTCGATTAAGTGCGGCAACGGAGGTAAGCCAATCGTCCATTTGTAGAATTTTGAAAAAAGAAATGCTCCAGCCATGTCATTATACTTCAGTTCAGCAGTTATTGCCTCAAGATTTACCAGTTCGCCTACAATTTGCTCAGTTTATACAAAATATGCAAATGGAAAACCTAAATTTCCTCAATAAGATTTTATTTACTGATGAGACGACATTTATTAGACGAGGAGTTTTCAATTGGAAGAATTGTGAAATTCCGCACGCTGTAAAAGAAAGACGTTTTCATGAGTTCAAGGTGAATATTTGGTGTGGTTTAATGTCTGTTTTTTTCATAGGACCTTTAGAATTGCCACCCAATCTATCTTGACCTCATTATTTAAACATAATTCAACATAATTTAAACGAGCTTCTAGACGATGTACCATTCGCTTTAAGAGAGAGAGTATGTGGTTTATGCACGACGGTGCACCACTACTTTTTGCCTTGCCAGTATGCCAGTATTTAAATGAACATTTTCCTCATCGGTGGATTGGCCGTGGGAGTGAATTTGGTTGGCCACCCAGAAGTCCAGACTTAAACCCTCTGAACTTCTCAGTGTGGTCAAACTTGAAGAATGTGGTGTATCGTGAAGAAATTAATTCTGTTGAGGAGTTGCGGCAGAAAATGGAAGTAACCGTGAGTTCATTTAAAAGTAATAGGGACGTTTTGTTTAATATTCAGAGACATTTAAGAGTGTATAATAAAATGTATTGAGGTAGGTGGTGGACACTTCCAGTATTTGATTTATGGTTTGTTATTATTACTATTATCAATAATTAAAACTTTTAAATGCAAATAACTCAGAAACCGATAAAGTTAGGCGACTTGAACAAGAGTACATATTATACGTATAATTGAACGGTCTTTTAGATTTTTAGTTTTTTTAAGCATAGCTCAACAGATAAAAAAATATATATTCTGATTTACCTAAATAATAAGGTGAAACTAGCGCCCTATAGGAGCAATATCAAAAAAACCAACACTACCAATTTTCAGAGTCACGCTATCAAAACTTTCTGAATTATTGAGAAATAATAATAAAATTTAAACTTTGAACACCCTGTATTTCTTAAATCAGCGACATTCGTATAATGCATGATGAGCTCAAATATAATATTTTAGTGCCTAGTATCTGCAGTTTACTGTTGACCCATTCTTTCTGACTCACCCTGTATATCAAGGAATAAATATTGTGATAGATATCAATGATATATATCGGATATGATTGATTTGGTTTTAATGTAATCTTGACCATCTTGTTCCGTTTTGTTCTGAACAAAATTATGGTCAAGAGCTTTTAATCATTTATGAATACTCTATATTATTGTAGTGCATTCCCTCGTAGGAACTCTTGTATAGATTTGTATAATTATTTCCTAAAGGTTTGGCACCTCTCGACATAAAAGTGAACTCACCAATTCAAAAGAAAGAGTCCTCTCGAGAGCAGAATGACACAATCCAAGAAAATGATACCCCACCAAAATCGTATTTGAAAAAAAGACCTGCCATTCGTAAAACATCAACATCGGATTCCACTGAACCTCTACCATCTACCAGTCGAACTTCAAAGACCACGACAACTAATACTGTGATCTGTCCTATCTGTAACGGTTCTTTCAAGGATAAAGTAATTATGGTACTTAATTTTCATATTTGTTAATTACATCTGTGAAATAACTGCTAATTTTGATAAATTATATGATTTGCAAGAAAACTTAATTATAAACATTAATTCCTGACTGATTCTTGGCAATTCTGTTTTTCCTCAGGATCACGCAGCTACCTGTGGAGAAGATCCTACACGTTCGAAGTCCAAAATCTCTAGAATAACTTGTGAGATTTGTGATAAAGTCGTCGATATGAACACTGAATACGAAGTTCACGTGAAAGATTGTATTCGAAAGAAAAAGGAGAAGGACTAACTAGGCAATACTTAATTACTTTCATTGTTAAAGAAAACTTGTTTTAAAATCATAAATGAGGTTTTGAATAATTTATTCGTGTCGTAAGATGTTTTTGCATTTGATTTTTTCATTCTTCGCAAAATTAACATTATTCGTAAAAAGCTTAGAGTTTTAGTGGAGTACTGTGATATTATTCTCTATATGCAGCGTCATCAGCCGAAAGGGGCGACAGGAACAAAAGGTAATTTTTTATAGTTTTCAGATTGTTTTATTTTGGAAGGCTTTTGCAGGGTGTGTCTTAAATATGTAAACTTATAAAACTATGTCCTAAATGGCTTAGATTTGGGTGATTAGTTTTTGAAAAATATACGTTTACTCAAATTTACTTGAAGATATTTGAAGGTCACTGTTACAACTTTGCTGGCTATTTGCTTAAATAAGTAACTGTTTGACAGTTACTCTAAAACAACTCATTTCACAGAACATCACCAACAACCCAAAATATTTATTGCTGTAGAAATTTTAATTTTTTAGGATCCAAATTCAAAATTTCTACAGCAATGATATTGTGGGACTCCTGATGATATATTTGAAATCATATTTCTAACAAAAAAATCTTTTAGATTTTTTTTTGTGGAACTTTATTGTTACTCTCGATTTATTCAACTTTGTTATAAGTTTGTTGCATATTTTAAAAAATCACTTGAGTATGGTGGATTTTAGAAATCTTTGTTTTTAATAATGGGTTGTTAAAGAAGTTCTCACTGTTTTCTCGTGAAAATTAATGCATTATTTAAAAAAAAAATAGTACTTTTCCCATCTTTCTGGCAACATTTTTAATTCCATGTCAGAAAAATTGCACGTCTTTTGCGACTATCAAAGAGTCAACATAAGAATCTTCATAAGAATGGAAGTGCTGCTCAGCCGGGCCATGTGCCATCAATTGGAAAAACGTGATAATCAAAGGGGGCAATGTCTGGTGATTATGGCGGCTGGGGTAGGACTTCCCATTTATCCCTTTCCAAGTAGGTTTTCACCAGTATTGCAACATGTGGCCGAGCATTGTCATGCTGCGAAGTTACTTTGTCCTGTCTCTGCTTGTGTAACGTCCATTTTTCCTTAACACTCATCTCAAATTGTAGTCGATAGCAATCTCCCGTGTGGTTTCATTCCGTTCGAGCAGGTCATGATAAACTACACCAAAAACAGAACAGAAGCTTGGAACCATAGATATTTGGCTTTGCCGACGATGTTGACGCATGCTCGGGCTTGCTACGATTTTCTATGTTTAAGATTATCGTAGCGTAGCATTTTTCATTGCCACTTACGATACGATTAAAAAATCTTTCCTTTTCTGACGTTAAAGCAGGTGTTCACACATGCAAATACACCGTTCAACGTCTTGGCTTCAACTCCTTGCTTTTGAAACATTCTTAGTACTTTCAAAGACTTTGAAACTGTTGTGTAATCAATTCCTAGTGTTTCTGCAAGGTCATCTAGCATCTGACATGAGTCTTCATGAAGTAATGCTTCCAATTCTTTATTCTCAAACTGTCAAACATCAAAATCATTATTTTTTAAACGTCTAATCCAATCTCTGCATCTTGTTTGTGACAGAGCATGGTCGCCATAAGTCTCAATAAGAGGTCTGTGTGCTTCCAATGCAGATTTCTTTTAAATAAAGTACTATAGTAAAATTCCCCGCAGATACTCTTTTTCCGGCACGAAATTCAACATGTTTAACACTACAAAAAAAAAAGTAGTTTACGTCTTGGTGAAACAACATACACTGAATTTCAAGCTTGCTTATAGTACTTTGTGCGTTTCCATCTTATGCCACATGCTTGCAGTTTTGGTAACGCCATCTATTGAAATATAGCGGGAACTTATTCAACATCCCTATATAATTAGAGGTAGTGGCTCCCACTAGTTCTACCATAGAATTATATAAAAGATCAATGAATTTTTGATATTTGCGTTAATGCTATATTTTTCAAAAACTTAAACACTACTATCAAAATTAAGCATTTTATGGCACAGGTTCATACAAACTCAAAATGCTCTAAGGAATCATATTTTTATCTTTGTTAGGATGGCCCAAAGAAAAACTAATTTTTTTTTTTCGTGTCTTGTGAAAATATGTGTTTATCATGTTTTAGGAACCCCCTTAAAAAATAGGCTCAGACATTTTTTAGAGGTCTCTCAAGATTTTTAAATATTCCAAAATCGTAAAAAATTTAATTTTTTTTCTCGTTATTTTATCATTTTCTAGGTTGGAAAAAATCTCGATTCTGAAAATTTCAATTCGATATTTTAATTTCTAAAGGTCACTCGTAATTATTTTAACTTTCAAAGTAGTGTACCTACCTATGTTTTCGAGCGACCTCTAAAAATAAATATCAACGAACTAATAATTTTTTTTTATTGCATTTGATGAACAAAAGAATAGAAATAAATCACGAGACACTTAAATTTTGAACAATTGAAAAATTATAAATATTTGATACAGTGCGGTAGTAAATTTTGCCTCGAAAAATTTTTTAAGTGTCGTGATTTATTTCTATTCTTTTCATCAAATTCAATAAAAAAATTTATTAGTTCGTTGATATTTATTTTTAGAGCCCGCTCGAAAACGTTTTAGGTACACTACTTTGAAAGTTAAAATAATTATGAGTGACCTTTAGAAATTAAAATATCGATTTGAAATTTTCAGAATCGAAATTTTTTTCAACCTAGAAAATGATAAAATAACGAGAAAAAAAATTCAATTTTTGACGATTTTGGAAATATTTAAAAATAACAACATATTTTCACAAAACACGAAAAAAAAATATTCGTTTTTTTGGGCCACTCTAATCTTTGTATTTAAAAAAATTGTAGTATTAAATGAACTAGTGTTAATACCGACACATTAAAATCTGTACAAATTCTATTACATGCTACTAAATAGATTTTTTTTCCGTTTCTGTATTAAATGTGATATTTGATTTATATTTTTAGTGCGGTGCTCTTTCTTTTCTATACATTTACTTTAAGTAACCTTAGCAAATTTATATTGCCATACGACCGTTAAAGGTAATATAGTCCGAGATAAACGAAATGAGCTAAAATCCTAAGGTCTTTCTGTTGGTCTCAAGTAATTAAATAGGCAAATCCTGTGTTATATTTACTGCTACATTCATTGATATCCTGTGAATTATTTCATATTTAGCTGGATAAAATTAAAAATATGTACAGGATGTTTTGGGAAAAAGTATCGTAAATTCCTAGAGTTGATAGAATATAAAAAATTATGATTTTTTCATTTCAGATATTGGCCATATCTCTTCCAAAAAAAAAAACGTGGAATGCAATAAAGTTTCTGCTAGAAATCGTTAGTTACGGCCTATTTTGACAGAACTATTTTGAGGTTAGGTTCTTTAGTCTATAGTACAATTTAAATTTCATTTTAACATCATATTTTATCCACCTGCAGTAGATGGCCAAAAACTAATAACACTGACGTTTTTAACACTCAAAAATTTTCATATACCAATTTTTTTTGCACTTTGTTTTATGAAAAAAGATATGACCAAAACTTGATTGTATGCTTCATGGTTCACGGGAAAAGATTGTTTAGTGTTCTATCAACTCCTGTAGTACCATTTTCCAAAACACCTTTTATATTATTTGAATTTATAACTGATTTAAAAAAAAAACTTATTACAAATATACAGTGTGTCCACGGATTGAGTGCACGTGGGGTGTAAATGACAAAAATTTTTCGAGTTGAAGTTTGAACTTCTGGGCTTCATCTCTGCTTGGCCTTAAACTACGAAGTTGAAAAAAATTAGTCCAATTAATTAATGCACAGGGTGATTTTACGATGAATTTTCAAAAATTGGCAAGAGTAAAGTACCTTTGTTTTTAAAAATATCAAAAATATTTACTTAAGAATGTTATTGACAACTGAAAGTTATGACAGATTGTCAATTTTCAATTTGATCGGCCAACTTTGTTTTTATTTTTCACAACCACAAAGTACAAATTCCTAATTATTTGTTAGAGAAAAGACGTAACTAATACAATAAACAATAAACAAATAATATATTGGTTATTCAAATGTGCTGCCACCAACCATTACACATCGCTCAGCGTTCATGGTAAATTCTGTGTAGGTGTTTTGGATTTCTTGATTGGGGAAGGCATTAATTTATCTTTCATTTTTCGTTTCAATTCAAATAAATCGTTATTCAACGGGGACCCATAGACTTTCTCCTTGAGATAGCCCCATAAATAAAAGTGCATTAGAGTAAAATCAGGACCTCTAGGAGGCCAAGGATTTGGACCATTTCGCCCAATCCACCACCCAGAAAATTGACCATCTAGCCATTTTCGAATGATTCGGGTTAAGTGCGCTAGATGTCCGTCTTGTTGAAAGTATAGTTTTAATTCTCAATAACTTTCTTAAGTAAATATTTTTGATATTTTTAAAAATAAAGGTACTTTACTCTTGACAATTTTTGAAAATTCATCGTAAAAACACCCTAATTTTTTCAACTTCCTAGTTTACGACCAAGCAGAGATGATCGCCAGAAGATCAAATTTCAACTCGAAAAATTTTTGTCATTTACACCCCACATGCACTCAATCCATGGAGCCCACTGTATATATTTTTTAAGATTTGTAAAAGTGTATGAAAAGTTGTAAGGTTATAGTGTCTAATTTGTTTTTAATGCAACTGTTGTTTTACACCCACTATTTATTCAGTTTACTTTAATCTTTCGAAACCTATAATGTCTTCACATTTTTCCCTATTAACGTTGCTTTAATATTAAAAAATTTTTAATTTTAATAACGTGAACAGAAGTGAAAACAATTATCTCTTACAAAATGCCTTGGAACGGCTTAAGTACACGATCACTTCGAATGCAGAAACATCAACAATGAAAAAACATCTTTTATTGGCTGTCCTCTTGGAGGCAAAGATAACAGATTTCCATAAAGAAATATTTTGTAAAAAGTAAATTTATTCAGATAGAATATTATATTCGATCATAATATGATCAAAAGTTTTATAAATAAGAGATACATTTTAGCTAAGTATTTTTGTACTAATTTAAATGTTGTATTGTTTTCACAATATATGCTAAATAATTCTGGTCATTTCTTAAAGTTATAGTTTTTATTTCAATAATTTGATAAAACTACTGTTATATTAATATGTTGCAACTATGGATGAAGATAACCGCAAATTATAGCTCTGTACACAGTATTAGTGAGTTTTTAAATTTATATAATTCACTATTATTTTTCTATTAAAGAAATTGTTGTAATAAGATTTTTATTAGTTATAGTTATAAAGCTAATATTTTGTAGTAAACAGTTTTATTTCATCCCCTACAAATGAAATCTATTTCAATATAAAATATCGTACGGCTTGGTAAATGTAACATGGCGAGTGAAATATTACTGCTTAAATGGGTTTTCGCTTATGCTCACTCGCCACGTTACGTTTGACAAGGTGTAAATTTTTTATTAAACGTTTTTGACAAGAGTAAAATTTTTATGTAAAATTAAATTTTACATTACTAATATACAGGGTGTCTCGAAATTAATGCATCAAAATTTGGTCATAGATTCATAAGACAAATTTAGGGGACCCGTATTTTTTATTTTTGCCAAGTGGCTCCCTCTTTCAGAGTTGCAGCCCCCTGAAATCTGCCCCCCCTTAAGACACTTTTTCGTGGGTCCCCTTGCCTTGGAAATAAAAAAAAAATCGGTCGCAAATTTGAATTTCTTAAAAATTATTAGTTAGCTAGAAAACCGTTGAATTTAGAAACTTTTTTGTCTCTTGGTATTTTTTTTCGTAAAACGCAATGTTTTTGAGGAAAATGACGAATCACGATATGCAGTCGATCACATTTTGACATTTTTGTAGAAAGTATTGCGTTTTATGAAAAAAATATCAAGAGACAAAAAAGGTTTTTAATTTAATGCCTTCTAGCGGACTAATAATTTTTAAGAAATTTAATTATGCCACCAAATTTTTATGGCTCTAAAGTCAAGGGGGGCTACGAAAAATTATCCTAAGAGGGTTCCCTGCCAAAAAGCGTAGCACCATCAGATTCTAGATGTCATAAAACCCCTTGTATCAAATTTAATGATTCTCGTACAACAGGGTTCTGAGATATAAAAAAAAGATTATTCTTAGGGGCTGTAACTCCGAAAGAGGGGGTCACTTGGCAAAAATAACAAATACGGGTCCCCTAAATTTGTCTTATGAATCTGTGACCAAATTTTGATGCATTAATTTCGGGACACCCTGTATTTAAGACACAAAATTGTAAAAAACCTAACCTCAAATAAGGTCGTAGCCAGCGATCTGTAACGAATGGTGAGTAGCTAACAACACTAACGCACTAAACTAATTTTAACATTTGTTCTATAAAATCTTATCAAATGTAGTCAAACTATGTTCTTCGATACCATAAATGTAGGTTATGCAAAAGATATCCCCAGAGAACTGGTGATATTGCAGGAAACAACTATAAGCCTTCATAAATGATTACAAGCCACGTGACCAGTAATTTTGTTTGGAACAGTACTTTTATTTCCTTCAGGTTGGCAATTAAATTTTGGTAAAATTAAAAATTATTAAAACAGGAAGATCAAGATTACATTAAAACACATCATTTTGTTTCGCCGGGTGCAGTTGGTGTAATTTGTCACAAGATTGTATTCATTCAGGGATGCAAGCTTTATGCCAGCCTCTTAAAAAAAAAATTGCAGTCAACAACTTACCGATATATTTCAAAACCTAGATACTCGTTGATTCTAAAAAAGACGGCGCAGTGAGCAACATACCGATATGAGAAAGATATTATTGGATCTTTTTTTCTGGGGTGGGTCGTCCCCCCTGGCTATGCACATGGCCCCCAACTAGCATTGAATTATAACAAGAATACCTACTAAACCATTAGTAATGAATAATCACCCAAAATAAAAACTATAGTGACTGGACTGTGAACACGTACCCAATATGTCTTGTCTGTGGGGTTAGATATTTTTTACATACTGAAGTTTTGGTATCGAACAACATTGTTTAACTTCAATTGATAAAATTTTTAAGAAAAAAAATTGAATTGAATTAACTTAATACCTTTTGAAATACAGTAAAAAATATGAGAGCTAATATTTTTTTCAAAACACATATTTAGTATTATCAAAAACTTGCCTGTAGCAAATTTCAATTGTTTTCAATTTATTTAGGATATCGCTGAAATATGATTTAAAAAAATTATATTTCATGCCCTATATCTCGACAAAATAGGATAGGCCTGTAGTCGGGAGGAAAAAATTTAATTTTTTAATGTTCTATCAGTCCTTGAATGTGTGGTATTTTTTCTTAAAACACACTGCATATCATGCTTGGTACAAATAGGGTTGCCAGGTGTCACGCTTTTCCACTTGCTACCACATGCAATGTCAAGCTTCCCAAATGCCAGGTTTTTTAAATTCGATCTCAAATTGACCCGATTTTCAGAGCACATTGACAACACTACAACTCTAATAAGCAGCTTGAGTGAAGACTTAAAGGCAGACAAAAAATGGGTTGATTTTTTTTTAAAAGCAAGTGCTCCCAACATGGAAATATTGTGTAATTTTGCATTTTCTTTGCCTCGTTCCAATACAGATTCAGAAAGAAATTTTAGTCTAATGTTTAACGCTTGGCAAAAAGAGTGAAGTAAAACTGAAATCAAAACTATAGAGGCCGAGCTGCTAGTAAAGTACAATTTCCTGTTTTCCTGTAAGGAGTTTAAAAAATACCGGTGAACACTTGTTAGAAAAAATTAAACAAAATGAAAAATACTCATAAATATATCAAATATGTCTCAAAATTTTTTATTTGTGAAAATGTTTAAGATTTGTTAAGTATGTATTATTTAAGTTTATTGATTTCACCTTTTTTGTAAATATAAAATGTTAGACATAATTTTATTGCCCTCTTCCACCCCCCGCCCCCCTTTGTATGTTTGGACACGTGCCACGCTATTTCCCACCACAAATCTGGCAATCCTAGGTACAAACAGTATAACAAATTTAAAAACAAAGAATGATTTGGTTTCCACTATTTTTGTAAGTTCTATATGCTCTTCAAAGGACCCCGCCATAATCTTATGGAAAATGGCTTTCAGCGAAATTATCTCAATTTTTGATGAGAAAGGTCTCATCAATCTGACCAAAATTCCCAATGGCCACAACCCCCGGTAATGCCTCTTTTTATCTTCTGACCAAAATTCTCAATTGCAACGATTCCCGGTAATGCTTCTTTTTACCGCCAGAGGGCGCTTAACCCCGCTAGATCGATCCATAATATGAGAAATAAATTCCAGATAGAAAAACAGTCTGAATTATTAATATGATGAGACCCATCACATATCAAAAACCCAGACGATTTGACTGAACTCCATCTCTCATATAGTGTATCATTCTGACGGGGTTAAGCGCAATCTAGAGGTAAAAAGAGGCATTACTGGAGGTTGTGGCCATTGGGAATTTTGGTCAGATTGAGAAGACCTATTTTATCAAAAATTGAGACGATTTTGCTGAAAGCCATTTTCCGTAAGATTACGGCGGGGTCCTTTATTAGTTCCTTTTTATTACACCCTGTATTCCATTGATTTTAAAACCAGAGAAACATATTGTGGAACAGGTTTACCGTTTAAATCGGAAACAAATACAAAATAGGTACAGAAATTTCTTTAGGTAAATTTGATACAATATGAAACATATAAGAAAATGTATTTATTATAGTTTACTATTTTTAATAACAGTTCCATTTTTTATTTACAAAATACATTATTATACATATGCAGGTATGGTAGAACCTTAGTTGTCTAAGTCACCGATTGCCGGAACTGGTTGAGATTATCTGAGTCTGTGATTATCATAATGATAATAAGCGTGGAAAAGTATAACCATTACACCTACTACATATAGAAGAAAAATTTGCCTTATCCGAGATAAGAGCCGGTCTTGAATACTTGAGGTTCAACTGTAATATATTTTTTTACTTTATAAAATAAGCATACAAATACTAGATTATTTTTAAATACTTAATATAATACACTTTTTCATCAAAGAAACATATATTGCAAATTGTTCTTTTCCTAAAACTAAATTCTAATATTTTCAGATTTATAAATTTTTGCTAATATGATAATAACAAGGATTGATTTACTATGTCAAGGATGTTTAAAACTATTCAAAATTCTCCGATTTGTATGGTAAAGAAACTATTCATCTAAGCGGTTAAATGAACCGTAGATATTTCAATTATTCACTAAGGATTTAATTTCATTGTACTTGAAAACATTGTCTTAGATACAGAGAACATTAACTTCGTCTATGAGTTCAAAATATAAAAAAATCATTTATATGAGCAAATATTATCTAAAATATCATTATCATAGTGACACGTCCTAAAAAAAACTTATCAGTTTTGCTTATCACAAAGAATTAAGGATGAGATACTGCTTTAGTAAGTTCCATCGTTGATTCACTTAATTTATTTAACAGTATGGTGTTTTCTGTGAGAATTTCCTTGAAGTTTTCACTATTTTTGGAATACTCTTTCAAATACATTTTAAGTTCTTGATTTTGTGTGTTCCGAACCTTTTTAGGTGCTGTATTTTTCCCAGCCTGCTCAAAATTATTTTTGATGTGTTCCGTATAATCTACGTTGTCAATGGTCAATTCCTCTTCGAAATCTCTCAATTTTCCATCGTACTTTTCGACGTCTGAAATTAATATGTTGGTCTTTAAATGAATATTTTGTGCCATTTTATACCAGTCTCCGAAATTTTCAGCTAGTTGCTCGTATTGAGGGAATACTTCTTTCTCCAAAAGTGTTTTGATTTTGTTGATAGTTTGAGTTATTTTTATTCTTTCCAAAATGTGAAATTGTTCGTCGTTGTACGACAAACTGCGGGTTGCTCTATCACGTACCAAGTGTTGCCACGATTCTCTCAAGTGCTCCACTTGCGTTTTAGCTCTCGCTGGGGCTAGTGTTTTAAAGGGACATTTTAAATCTCTACTGATAGAGTCCCACTGCAGTTTTAACGTATTTTCAACACAGTGCCCCAAGTACAAATTAGTAACACCGACCGCTGCAGCCGTTACAAATTCCTTACTTATGTCATCCAGTTTTTCAGTGTAATTACTTTTCAGGCTGTAATTACTAATTTGTTGCGAAAGTTGTAGGACCTGTGCGGTTTTTTTGAAAATAAGTGTTTTGTCGAGTAAATGTTGCGTGTTTTGATGAAGCTGTTTTAGTTCTGTGTTGATATATTTGGTAAAGTTGTCAACAGTCTCACAGATAAGTTTGCTGTAAAGAGAATATTTTTCGATTTGTCGCTTACATTGATGCCCGATGCTACAAGCGAACTTTGCTTGAGCAGCATCATTTTCCACAGAGATGACTGTAGAAAAATCGGTCCACTTTGGCAGCTCCTGGTCAGGCACTATAGTGACGTTGTTATTATCCTTGTTAAATAAAAACAATGGATCGTCTTCTTTGGTTCTAGGGTAGCCACATGCTCTAGTATATTCCTGAATAAGATTAGCAAAAAGATTAGTTTGGTACAATAAAATTTGACTTTCGTCTTTAATCCCTGTTTGTTCTGTTACATAATTCTGCAAGTGCTGATACGTCTCATCTGGAAGGATATACACTTTAATCAATCTGGCTTTATTTACATGGAAAATGTTTATAGCCGAGCGTGACAATACTACATCAACCTCTTTAAAAAATCTGTCGAAGCTCCATATTTTCCTGTGGTCTGCTTCTAGAAGTCCAGCTAAAAGAGGTGTTATAATTTTTTTTAAACCTTCACTCAATTGACAATTAACTGGTAGTTCTCGCTTCCATTCAATCGGTCCACTTTCTTTAGTTTGAATTCCTGATATGACACCACTTTCTTTTTTAGTAGTTATGTGATGCATCGTTTCTTTATTTTTACGACCTCCATAAGGTCTGAATGGTAAGTTTCCTGTAGCAACATGATACAATGTTACGCCTATAGACCACAAATCAATGGTTGCACCGAACTTTTTGTTAACCGGTTTTCGTAATACTGCTCTTTCATACATGTCCGGATGTAGATACTCCTCAGTTCCATACAATGACTGAAAAGACTGACCTTCCTGGAGTTCTCTGGCAGCTCCAAAGTCTGTTAATTTGTAAACTGTGGTACCATCTTCCCGAATAAATTTCATTATATTACCTAAAACAAACAAAATTTGAGCAACAGAACATGCTAAATTAAAAATGTTAAATATTCTACTGATCTTATCATGAATAACATTAAAGCTACCTGGTTTTAAATCTCTGTGAATTAAATTATTATCCCTCAAGTGTTTCATGCCAGCATAAAGATGTGCTAGAACCAAAAGAAATTCCGATTCTTCTAGTCCGTATGTATTTTCAGGATCATCTAAACTGTTGAACAAACTTCCACCAGTGCACAGTTCCATAACGATAACTTTTCCTCTATTTTCCTGGTCCTCTTCAATGGCAAGAAGTTTAACGATATTTTCATGTTTTACTTTCCTTAGCACCTCAAATTCACGAAATTGCACTTCTTGTGGGCGAAGTGTGCTAACAGTATTGAATGTTTTAACTGCTACTGGTTCTCCATTTACTTTGTTAACACCTTGGTGGACAGTAGCAGTGGCACCTTTTCCCAAAATACTGGTTGTTGACCAAACATAATTCGGGGAACCACGTAAATATGAAGACATTTTTCAACAATATTTATAAAACGTATATTAAATTAATAAATATTTGTTCATTATGTGTACTTTAAAATATAAACATCATTTAATTTTTAATATCCGTTTGCATTTTATCATACACAAACTAATACACTCAAAGCAAAATGAAAATTATAATATACTCCACAAGCCACAACCATACCCAGTATTTACATTCACACTGACAGCCATCTGACAGCTGACGACCACATGACAGCATGACAGTGATTTTACAAACCATGGAGACTATACATTACAAACCATGGAGACTAACAAGGAGTGCGAACTCCATGTAAACAAATATCTTACGCAATTAGAGGGCGCTAGTGTCCCACATACCCCGAAATAGTGGCGGGCAGACAAAGTAAGCAGCCGTTTGAATTAAAGTAAATAATATAGGCTACTTTGAATTAGATTAAATTAGAATAAATCAATAAATATATATATACTAACGACGTATAATGTCTACTATTACATTGTCTTCCCCCCGCGGTTTACACAGACGAGCCGGCGAAGCAAGAAGAGCGCCAGAAGAAAGGGCCCTAGCCGGCGGGGCCCAGCAAGGACAAAAGGAGGTCCCGCAAAGAGCCTACAACGGCCGCATTTGCGGTTGAGGTAGACGACGGATGGGGCCCACCTACGAAGGCTGTCCAGGCCTACACGAGATGAGGCAGAATAAAGAGGGATATCCCCCTCGATCCCAAATCATTGAGGCCAATTTCTAGCTATAGAATAATGGCGGTCATAAATTGTAAAATTTCTTCTTCTTCTTCTCTATTTAACTATGATTCTTTATATTACTGATCTCAGTAAAATATGGATAGTAATTGGTACAATCTAAAATAGTGTGCCAGACGCATGCGATATACATATTGTACATAAGGTTCAGAATTCGTTTTTTTTAATCAAATTCGATTGCATAACTGTTGGAAATTGGAAACTGTTTCTAATGCACTAGGAACAAAGCTATAATAATTTCAATTTGTAATGACACAGCCTCCAGCCTCCTAAAGTTACTTAGGAGGCTACTGTGATAATGGCCATATTTGCAGGATCTACAGCTTTATTTTTTCGTGAAAATCATTTCCATGATATGAATGATTCCTTAAAGTAAATCAGTATAAATTTCAATTTTTTAATCTTGAAGAATAAAAAAATTGTTTGACCCTCATGCATATCGTCCCTCTTATTACGTAGGGGCGTATGTGCATTTTATAAATTTTATAGAAGATAAAAAACGAAAATGCGTTTAGCTTACGTAGTTAGTACTTTTTTATAATTCTCAAATAAACTCATATTTTCGAATTTCACCCACCAAAGTATATGTTATAACAGTGACACAATGCTGCGTATGTATCTGACAGTGTTTTTTTAAAACGGTGAGGTTTGTACATACGACTACGTAATATTCGACTTGGTTTATTAAAGTTATATACGCGCTTAACTAAAATAAGGAAACTTTTATTTATGCTAAGAAAAACTGATAATATAACAAAAATAATCATTTGACAAAAAAAAAACAAAATTTTACAGTACACTAACGTATGCATAAAAACACCCTACAATGAAATTGCATTGTGACTTCATAAAATACTAAAGATAAGTTTATTCTTCTGTATGTGGCAAGAATCTAAAGAATTCCCGATACTCTGGCATTTTTACAATTGGGGTCTCTCCCCGACACAGTGAAACTGCGCAGGAATAAAGACGTTTCCTGCCACTAAAATAGCACTAGATATGGCACTGTGTGCTGCATCACCTTTGTTTTGTCCATGGTTGGTTTCGAAATATCGTATGGATATTTCTTCTACAGAGGGAAACATAGTTAAAGAATATATCAACATGGTGGGGATTATCGAATTCTTATTTTGTCCATGACACCTGTCTGCAAATAGTGTAATGCTTTTTAGATCCTGATGATCCACGCCTACTTACAGCCTCATGCTATACGAAGCAATAACATTCTTTTGTGGCAATATTGTAAAAAGTGAGATTAAAATTTGATAATCGACTTTTGTAGAATATGGCACTTTCTTTGGAAATGGGCAGATACCTGTTGTAAATCAAACACCCCCACAAAAAATACTTTTATTTTCTTGTGATTTTTGTTTGCATGCTGATTTAATTTCCCTGACTGTAGTTTTTTCTTGGCAATGAGCAGTATACTTCTTTTAAATTGTTCTTTATGTTTTCGTCGCCTTCTCTACAACTGTTGCGAAGCGATCTTTTTTGGGCAGCAAAAAGATAACTTCTTTTGTTTAAAAATTTTTCGGTACAAACTAAAACTTGCCTTGAGAACAGTATTTTCTTTAGCGGCTAAGTCTTCTAGGTACATTGCGTACATTTTTTGCAGTGATAGATCAGGGTGAAGGTACATCCTATTTGTTTTTGCACGGCGGTAGTGGGACTCTACTTTAGGGAACCGATCTATGTGTTCATGTATTGCAATATTGATTAGTTTTTCACGATTTTTAGTTTCCTCATTCCTTTGCCGTCCGCCCCGCAAGTCTTTCTCTAAAAGACCAACTTCGGTAACTTTTGATAAAGCTGTGCGGCACATTTTTTCTGTTACTCCTAATGTATTTAGAAACAGTTTCTTACATACTACAACATCTTTATTGTTAGCTGTTAGTTTGTAAATCAGTGTTTGCTGCCTACGGGACTTCGTCGTGTCAGATACCCTTGTTTTCTTTGGTTTTCTTTTTTCTATATGACGAATTAAAAATTCTCTTTGTGAATGCAAATCTCGGATACCACAAAAAAGCTCAAAAATATTTTGTCTCATTTCCTCGTCAATTTCGTAGCAGTTTTTTCCATAGAGTTTGCATGTTTCTGACACACAGCGTTCTTTTAATTTTCGAGCAGGAATTGTTTTTTTGGTACTGTAACTTATGTATTCAAGACCTGAACATAAAACAATATATTTAATACCTATTATTAATTATCCTAAATATATTTTAATGTTCATTATTATTTCTAATTACTTACCCTGATTTCTCAAACTTTTAGCCAATTTTTGTTTATTGGCCTTACGAGTTTTTATCGTTGTACCTTCTCTCTCATCACCATCCATAATAAAATACTCAGGGTGAATTACCGGTTGAACGGCAGTAACAGGATTTGTAACACAATATTCCGGCTCTTCGATGTGAATGTTTTTTCCATGATTGCAGTTTGAAAGATATTCGTTAAAATCAGGGAGATCCATGGTTAAAATCTCATACTAATAAATAAAGGGGACGCCGTTATTTACATTCGATAGTCTATTTACAAACATTGGTACTTGTGACTGTGACGTCCTTGACGTTGATGCCAATGTTACATTTTTATCCTTATAGCTAGGTACAGCGGTCATTTTAATTGATTATGATTAACGTACAACGTACAAGTATCTACCTTATTCTTGACCTCGACTTACAAATTAGTTACATTGTAATATGCATAAGACTACGACACTATTTTCTTGCAACTTGTTTTATAATTATAGAATCTGAATATCCGAAAAAAAAATTCATTATTGAAATTCCTAGCAACTAGCAATACAAACGCCGTAAGTGGCATCATTGCCTGGTATTAAACGGTTATACGCCCAAGAAATTTTATATGCGTCGGCAAATATTTTTACCTCACGAATTGGGGTAAGGGCGATTGCGCTTCTACGTTATGCCCTTATGAGATATGATATGAAAAGCCTATGAAAAGTACTTCCAAGAATATCCTAGAACCGGCGTAACTGTAACTGAATTTTCCGAATTTTCCATTTTTTGGATTATACGCCCCTACGTGATAAGAGGGACGATATAGCCTCTGAATTTTTCCATTTTCACGATATAAATAAATCTTAGTGTCAATTCCAATATAAAATTCTACTATAATAGGTAGTTAAATTTTTTACTCAAGTTCCAACGACTGACGTCAATAAACATCTTCATACGATTTTTTTTATTTCGTCACCTTGTACAAAATATTAGCAATTGAATTTTCGAAGTTAGTCAATAATAAAATGATAAGCTCAAGCTTGTAACACTCATAACTAAAATAATTTAATTGTTTTAAACAATCGGTAAACACTTCAATACTTCGTCAAAATTGTTTATTATCGATAATGTGCAAGTATTTTCATATTCTTACGCTGATATTGATGTGAAGTAGGGGCTTCCTAGATTAGACATTACTTCAATAATTGTATAATTGAGTTAATGTTTCGGAGAAGAGTTACGTGTTAGCAACAGCAAATAGCTATGGCACTGCGAGCTGTTTTAATTTGTTCGGCATTTCTAGTGTTTTGCAATGCTGTCGAAATACAACATTTGGGAGGGCAATGGTTACTTAAGGATGAAAGTGGAAGTATGTATTTTTTTTATAATGTCATAAAATGTTTAAAAACAGATATTTAAAGAGCCGCATCATATTAAAAGTTGTTGTTGACCCAGTATCAATATCTACAAACACAAATGAATACAGAGTGGACAATGTACAATGAGCGATGAAGCCAAATACAGGGTGGGTCAACTACAATTAGCTATATGCGCATGCTTTGGCGCTGTCGTTTAAAAAAACTCAGCGTTTATAAAAACATAGAATTAGTAAATAATGTTTTAGCAGTTATTTCAGTCATGTTCTAATAGAACTGCTTACTACTGTAGTACCAACCTGAATAGTATAAAATACAATCTGTATAAAGAAATTTATTAAGAGAAAATAAGCAAAAATACAAATAAAAGAATAAGTTGGTGGTTTCGGGTTGATTTTTTACAGTGGATACAACGCATATAAGGAATTTGCTTTTGGACCACCTCATTTTCATCCCCACATAAGACCAGACTCTTCCATAGCTCTGACAATAGCTATAATACAAAATAATGTCTCAAATAAAAGTTACACTCAATATACAATAAATTTTTTCATATTTTAAAATCATTTTCGATCGGTTAAAGAGGATGTCCTATTTCTGCTTAATTTTTTTAAAGGAACCGCCATTTAAATATTGTAGTTTTGAATTTTTTGTTAAATTTAAGGGGATATTGAGTCTAATTCGCATGGCCTTGATGTTATATGATGGTATTAAAAAAAATTACATTTGTACTTTGCAACGGCTTGAAAGATATAAAAATCTACGAAACTATAAACATGATAACAAGATCGCATTTTGATTATTCCTTCAAGCATGAGTTAATCTATCCTTAATATTATTTACTTAACATATAATTAGAAAACTAGTGATTACAAACATAACTTTCAAGTTTCAATCAAGTTTATCTTGATTTTTTTAGCTAGGACTGTATGTTTTTACTTATATAGAAAATTTAATTTTCTTTCGATTTTATTCAGGTATACATGCATGGTGAGTGGCCCAGTGGCGGCTCTTGACTTCCATACCAAGGAGGGTTGAAAAATTTAAGTACTTAAGTACAAAGTATTGAAGAAAAATCAAATATAATTGGGTAGTTTTATTTTAAGTACCCATTAATGAAATATGGGGAAAATGTACTAAACATAATTTTTTAAAGTGAAATTCTATTCTGCTTTTATCCTAAATAAACTTTTCAATTACCTTTTCATTAAACTTTTGGTATTTCTCGCACCATTGATTTTTCAATAGATAGCATTGCAAGTGCAATCAATTAAAAAAACACACAATATGCAAGTAAAAAATTTTGCACCATACCTGAACAAATTACGTTTATTAAGAAAAAAAGCGATGAATAGCTATTATTTGGTTACTGTCGGACTAAACAGACTCCACAATGCATAATAAATATGCGCTATTCCGTCTTTCACTAGTGCGCGACGGTAACCATGACCACCGTTGTAAACACTTTAGAGATCTGGAGGCGAGCTACGAGGAGACCACGTATTTTAGAGTTTTGCAAACGAATTTTGCAAGTCGAGTTAAATTGACTACACATTACAAATTTAACATTTCATTTTTAATATTCATAAGGCTAATCTATTTAATTATGTAGATAATTTTTTTTACTACTAAAATTTATAGGGGAGGCGGCGCCGCCCCAGAGCCCGTTGTTAGATATTCACGGTTTTTCTTCAACTTTGTTGCTATTTTCGTGTTAAAAAACGGATAACATAATAATAAACAGATATGGGCCTAACTCAACATTTTTTATGTAAAAGTATGTTCTAACTTTTTAATTTTGCAAATGAAGACTGTAATATGCAGAATAACAGTCAGAACTGTGATTAAATCATATATTTTTATATGTTTCAAATTCAATCTTCAGAATATTATTCTAACTCCATTTTTCTTAGTAATAATGTCCTAACCCCTTTAAAACTTTAGTTGTTCTAACTTGAGATACATTTTTGTGTTATTAAAATTATCACAGTTACGGAAGAATCGATCATATATTTTATCGTAACTCCCTTTATTTGAAATTTACATTTCAAATACATGTATGAATTTTTAGAATACAAAGATTTGAAGGCAATAGTACCGGGAGGTATTTACTCGGATCTGATGGATAACGACATTATAGAAAATATTTTTTATGGATACAACGACGACGTCACGAGATGGGTACCAAGAACAAATTGGACATATTATACAAATTTCACAGGTAAAAATAGTTTTCCTTATACGACAAAGTACTTTTTATGCTAATGACTCAAAACTGTTATAAAATGCTGAAATCAAGCCGACGGGACTGTGAAAGTAACCAAACAATTTTTTGTTATATGGTTTTCTGTTTTCCAGTTAAATGAAAGAAAAACAAAGTATTATATAACTTTTTTTTTGTTTTACTAATTTAACTATTTAATGCGGACCTTGGACTTTCCATCGCGATTTTATCTTGTAAACAACATTAATTATGATTTTTCCAATTTCGCTGCGGTTTTAGTTTAGATGTAATAAGGCAACCTGTAGCACTCAGATCTTGTGACGCTGTACTCCAATGCCAAATTACCGACTCAATCTCATCTTGTAAATCCGTGCGACGGGTAAAGGAAATGCGATTCCATGAGCGTATCATATTGGAGAGTTCCAAAAATTCTCATATATAGGACAACAAATAGATATGTTCATTGTCGATGTAAACACTAGGTTATTCTTACAAGTTTACAATTACCTTAGTGGTATACTGATATTGATTTTGATGAATACAACAGCTAGTATTTTTTTATTTCGCTTCGTGCAAAGAAGTTTTTAGCTCTGCTGAGACTCCTCTATGATTTCCTGAGGTGACAGAAATGCTGCAACGATGATTGTAAAAATTAATTTTGCAATTTTGTATTATTTCATATTTAAGTAACTGCTTTTATAAAAAAGCAGTAATAATAATAATAATAATAAGCAGTAATAATACTTACACTAAAAGCGAAAGAAAAAGAAAACTGAATCATTTTGAAAATCATCAATCAAACCGTTGGGACTCCTTTCACTTTCGAAAAAGCCAAAAACAAAAATTAAAAATTAATATTTTAAATCCAACCACAGCACAATAATAAATCAAAATAATAATACTTAAAACAAAAAAATGAGAAAAGTTAAAAAAGTAAGAAGCATATTGTGTTAAATTAAAGATTGAAAATGTAAAAAGTAAATATTTGAAAAAGTAGAATTTTCTGATAAAGAGGCTTAACCATGACAAAAGAAACATTCCATGGGAAGGAAAAGGATGGCCTGAATTCAAGTAATATTGACCACTTTTTTAATAAAATTTTTGCTTTAGGAAACGAAATTGTCTTGTTCAAAACAAATGTGTACAATCTTTTTATTTTTATGAAAACAAATATGTAGGTACAATCTTTTGTATTTTTATAAAATATGCATTTTTCAATAACATTTCAGTTAATGAGGAGCTACTGAATTTTGAAAATATCAACATCGTATTCGAAGGCTTGGACACATTTGCCACTATCGCTATTAACGATGTCGTAGTCGGACAAAGTAAAAATATGTTCGTCCAGTATGTCTTCAACGTGAAGGACCAAATTCAGGTAAATTCAGCTACGGCTTGTGCAACTTGAGGTGATAATATTTTTATAAATAAGCCTAGAACTCGTACCGTGTTTAAAAATTTTTTTCTAGATCCTCTTCTCCGAAATCACACGTATATGTGCAAAAAAATATTTTTTTTTAATCAACTAATAAATACAATCAGGCCTTTTTATATTTTTCGCAATATTTTCATTTTTCTTAAAGTTACAAAATTATGTTTTGAAAAATGGCATGTTAGTGTGAAATTAAAATTCAAAAATGTAATTATGTGAAAAATAAAAAAAACTCCTAACTGTGTCAGTTGATTCTGTAAAAAAAGATCCCAGTCTGCAAATATAAAATTAAAATAGGCGTATTATAATTTCTTATATCGCAAATTTCGTTTGAAATTTATTTATTACGAAAGGTTCTAAAAAAAAAAAGGTATGGATACTATGTTTCTTTATAAAAGTATGGCCACTTTTCAATTCAATTTTCACCAGCCGCCACTGGCACAATAAATGTTTTTTAAGTAGTTTAAATGTAAACGTGTTTGATAATTGAAGGGCTTAGTGTGAAACAATGACAAGCCACCCTTTCTTGAAATATGACTTTTTTAAATTTTCAAGTTTTGCAAGAGTATAAGCCACATACGGAATATTAAAAGAAAATGATTATTCATGATGATATTATTCAAGTACATTCATAAACATCTATAGGTACTGCTGTAACTAATGTAGACAAATTCGGAGAAAACGAAGCTAACGTTGATTTTACACATTTTAAAATTTCCAACAATTTTGCATTTGTGGCTTGTCATTGTTTCACATTTCACACTAAGCCCTTCAATTGAAAATAACTTATCTCAATCACTATCTGAAATCTTCACTTTTAAAGAGAGATTATGTAAAATATTTAATCTGTTTTGGGATTTTTTAAATTAAACTAGAAAATTTCTTTGTAGAATCTTTATTTAAATATCCTGAAAACAGAAAATTTTGCATTTTATACATGTTTTTGTACGTTAATTTCAGGCTGGAAATAATGTAATAGAGGTTCGATTTCAATCACCAGTTGAGGTAGCTGAGAATTTATCCGCAGAACAAAATAAATCATATAACATACCCGTAAACTGTCCTCCAAGTGCATATAGGGGAGAATGCCACGTGAATATGATAAGAAAAATGCAAGCCTCATATTCTTGGGACTGGGGCCCTTCTTTCCCGTCAGTTGGTATTTGGTAGGTATAAATTTGATTAGATAACACAAAATGGAATACAAATTTATTACGATGGAACAGTTCTTTAAAAATAAAGCCCAGTTTCTCGTACGATTGAAATAGTATCCAGAATTTCGAAATTCAGGATACCGAAATGTCGAAAGAAGGTAGAAGTCAACTTTTTCCGAATATTTTTTAAACGCTTCGACCCTCCCTCTTTGAGAATCTTTTGTTTTGAGATTTCAGGGATTGTGCGATTTGTAAACTGGCCGTTATTTTTAAAGATCTTTCTCTTCATAAAATATTTGCAATTCGTTTTGAGTTATTGTACCTATGTACGAATATTTTTAAAACCTGCTTCAACTTCAACCATAAATGTTTTTAGGAAAGATTTGTACATTGAAGCTTATAACGAGACGGCTGTGAGGTATATAGTTCCTGATGTGGTCCAAAGCGAGGATAATTCATCTTGGACTGTCCTTGTAGACGTATACTTCGCCAATAACGCTAAAAAAGTAATATTTGGAAAAATCGCCTTTGAACTTGAGCTGGATTCTGAAACTGTAACGCAATCTGTAACCGTGAATTTAATACCCAATGGATTGAATGAAGTCGTAGTTCATAATTATTCTATTAAAGTTGATTCAGTAAGTGATAAATTTTATGTATAGGTACAGATGTGGACAATAAAATGTTTCCTACCAAAATTGTTTATGATCCTTTTAAAACAGGATATTAGTAGTTTTATTCTTTAAACGTTTCAGGTCAGAAACTTTTTTTTGTCCACAGCTATATACGTATTATTGCAGTTTTTCCATGTTAGTTGAAATTCATTTAGGTATATTGAATTAGAAACAATAACGATTCTAAAAAGTGTCCCAAAATTCACGCAAGAAGTAATTTTGATAGAAAACACAGGTTTTTTATTATAAATTTTTTATTGATCCCTTAAGTATAACAGTATAGGGTTATATTCAGAACTTATCCAAAAAAAAAAAATTGGAAGTACTTACGAATATTATTTTGTAAAAAAAATCAAAAAGGGCAGTTCGAAAATGATTTAAAAATACACTTCTGCACGGCACTGGAAATTGGTCCACTGTAAAACATGGCATCGCACTATGCAACCGGCACGACAGCGTGATAAAAACGGACAAAAACTTGAAAGAATTTCGCAAGGAAAGGAGTAAATTGAATTTTGTAGCACCTGTTCAATTGCTTTTGCCGCTATTGTTATTATTAATTAACAAAATTAATTTGTGGCTTTAATTAATAAAATAATTTGACATACCTGATGTTACAACTCTTCAAAATTTTATCCAGCGACGCGTAAATACATTTGGACCCGTCTTATCCATTTTCTATGAACTAACACAAATGTTTCACCATAATACAAATGTTGTCTTGCTCCACCATAAATTAAAACGATATCCATCAACTCCTAGTTACTTTACACACAAGCTAATTTTGACAGTAACTACTAAAAAAAACTATTGTAAACACTATCGCGACGACTATTGTAAAATCGGATTTCAGTATTCAGTTGTCCAGCGATGTAATGCTTGAAAGTACTACAACTTCAATATTTTTTTCTCGGAAACTATAAGGATTTTACAAAAATTGTTTTTACGATATTGACTCAATTTCTCATGCCGCATCTATTCCTATTTTTTTTTGGATAAGTTGTGAATCACCCTGTATATGAAATAATATATTGGGTCCACCTCCACGGCTTTGCTGGCACATACGCACCCTTTTGTCGAAATTTTCTATGACTGTTTTACATAAATGCGACTGAATTTCGTTGATACAACGCTCAGTTTCCTCCTTCAAGGCGTGAGTGGTCGTGAACTTGTTTTCATCAACCTTAGACTTCAAAAATTCCCCCCAAAAAGAGTCCAACGGCGTTAAATCGCATGATCTGGGCGGCCAATTCTGATCACTAAAAAGGGGAAATTACACGACCAGGAAATTCTTGATAAACAACGTGGTCTTCATCTATATCTTCCAATTTAGGCAGAAAAAACTGGACTACCATGTCTCATCATTAACTCATACTGCCTTACCAGCCGGATTTTCGAAGACGAATGGTCCGATGATGCCTCCAGACCAAAATCTGCACCAAACAGTGACACGTTGGATACATTTATTTCGGAATAACCACTCGTGGATTTTCTGAATCCCAAATGCCATAATTTTTTCGATTAACGAAGACATCAACATAAAAATGAGCCTCATCGCTGAAGATGGATTTGTTCGAAAAATCAGCATCCATAACGAACTCTCTTCGCTCTGCTTGGCCAATAGACTTTAGTCTTTGAGCCAATTGAACGATGTAAGCATGAAGATGCAAATATTTCGTGAGGATACGCTGTAAAGAGATTCTCGAAATGTTCAATTCTTGACCACTGTGCCGAAATGTTCCTGCACTCTCAGCAACACTCTCATGAACTGCTTGGATGTTTCGTGTTGAACGACTTGTTAAAGGACGGCCAGAGTGTTTAAGATCACTAACAGTTGATCCAGTCTCCCTGAATATATTTGTTTTTCGTTGGCAACACTTTACCGCACAAATGGCGCAAAATTCAAATCTTGTGTAAATTTTGGGACACCCGATAATTTATTTTTGATAAGTATGAAAACTATTTTGAGACATCATTAAAAAATAGTCGATAAAATTATATCAAGAGAATCAATATATGTATTTAAACTTTACAAACAGAAAGAAAGAAATCATATGAAACGGATTCATTTTGTAAATAGTCATGATTGAAATCTTCCAAGTACGATCCTTATATGTGCAATACACTTATTTGTTGACCCGTCACGAGTAAATTTTAAAATGGGTGGTAGCTGCACTCAAATAAACGAAGATGGTCATTTTCTTTAAATCTGTAAATGAATCTGTCGAACACATAGTTATGCCTATAGTATATCGGAATATTTTATGGAAAGATACATAAAAGTAATGTTTTGTTCACTAATTTTATATGATTTTCAAGTACAATATACAAAAATATAGTTGTCATATTTGTAGTTCTACAGGCGACGAGATAAAATATTTTCGGTTTTCCACATTTAGTTCATTGCAAATTCACAACAGTTTTTATCAACGTCTTAATTTTAGGGACTGCTTAAAACCTGGTGGCCCAATGGTTTCGGTGCCCAGAACCTTTACAATTTAACAGTTACATACTCTAATGATGAAGAAACCGAAAAAAGCTCCAAAACCGTGCGCATTGGTTTTAGAACCATCGAATTAGTTCAAGATACTCTCGGTAAGCACGGTAAAAAGTGAAGATCCATTCCCATAAATTTTATACCTTTATTTTAGATTCCGGACTAACGTTCTATTTCAAAGTCAACGGAGTTCCAATATTTATGAAAGGTTCTAATGAAATACCTATAGATATATTGCCAGAGAGAGGGCAAAATAAGGAAACTATAAGAAAATTGTTGACGACCGCTAGTGATTCGCATATGAATATGTTGCGAGTTTGGGGTGGAGGAGTGTATGAATCTGACTATTTCTACGATTTAGCTGATGAACTAGGCATTCTCATCTGGCAGGACTTCATGTTTGCTTGCTCTCTGTATCCTACAAACGAGGAGTATCTTAAGTAAGGTTTGAATCATATTTTGACCATCCCATTTATGGAAAACAGAGACAACAATTATTATTTTTAAATATCTTCATTTATTATACTATAAGAGGGTAAAGGTTCCTAGCAAAACATTTTTGGAAAAGAAAAAATCGTACGTGTACCCAAAAAATTTGTAAATCAAGTCAAAACAAGAAATAAAAATCTCATAAACATAAGGGGATACTTAGCTTTCGACCTCTATTAAAAATGCTTGAATATGAAAATTTACTGGTATTTAATTTTTTATACTTTTTAATACAAAAATGGCAACTATGAGTAACAGAGGCGTGCAAAATTGAGAATTGAAATGTACATTATAGTCTATCATTTTTTCTAAATATTCTCTTCGACGTACTACAACTTCGATGTTTTCTACTAAAATAATTTTTCGAAAATTCTTTGCATAGCAAAACTTTTCAGGACGATCTAGACTAATCTGGGTCTTCCATAACTCCAGTTGGAATTTTTTGAACGTTTATTTTTAACGTCATTGTTTCAATTTTTCTGCTACTTTTTTCGCGTTTTTTGTTTTTTTTTTACACCACTTTTTGGCGCACCGCACCGCGTGTTAAAAAGTGTAGACGCCGTAGAGAAACGGCGATTTTGAAAGATTATTACATTGCGATATCGCTACCGCCACCTTCAGCGAATTTTTAATAATTTAAATTTTCAACTAAAAAATGTAATATAGTAAAAATACCGTATATTCAACGTTGACCGGAAAAAATTAAAAAGAACTGGTATAATACTAAGTAAGTTTAATATTAGAACTGTTTCCCAACCCAGTAATACATTAAGGACAATTAATTTTATCAAAATCTCGACTGCATAGTGAAATACAAAATTCTATAAGCGACATTTACAGTTAGCCCTGTAGAATTTAATATTATTCATTTATTTTTTTCTCAGTGTGACAGAAATATCCAATAAAAAAAAGATAAATTCCGTTTTTTTTTTGTTATTTACAATGTCATTTATGAATTTACATTTTTATTTTATTTTGTATATGATTTTTTATATTTTCACGCGGATAAAATGTTTAGCATCTTTTATTTAAATTGAATAAACACTATAACAGTTTAAGCAAAGATAGAAATAGAGACTTGTAATAATACAACGTACTAAGTGCGCGCGCACTGGTTAAACATTGGAACACTATGCGAAATGAACAGCACATTACAATAATTTTTTCAGATTCAGAAATGCTAAAATTTGTGGTTTTATTTATTTTGACACTAGAGTATTGATGAGGACCAAAATATTATTTTTTCTAGGTAATAATAATAAGGTAGTTTTTGTTGTAAAAGTCATGTTTTAAAGTTAAACTCTATAAATAGAAAAAAATATCATATTATTGGGCAAAACGCCAAAGTCCCCCAGTTTTCACTGTCCCTAAATTAATTTATTTCATAGTCGCCATTTTGTCTTCTAAACGATAAAGAGTGAAATACATGTTTAATTTTTCAGTTGGTAAGGAACCTTTAAATGTTTTAAATACACATGCTCGATAATCATAACTAAACATATTTTCTCGACCCAAGTTTAACTTGTGCAATTCAGAATATCCCGTGCCAGAGGCGGACTGGCTAGGTGAACAGGCCCGGGAAACATTCATCAAGTGGCCCGTTTTTTTTTAAAGAAAAATATTTTTCATCCTTCTACAGCGCCAACTGGCCCAAAATGACCGCGGCCCATCGGGAAACCTCCCGAGTTCCCGCATAGCCAATCCGCCTCTGTCCCGTGCAATGTATGGAAAAATTATATAAACTGTTTTTTGTTTGTATCGCTTTTCAGTAACGTTTTGGACGAAGTTCGACACCAAGTAAAGAGATTAAGCAGTCACGCTAGTATAGCCTTATATTCCGGGAACAATGAAAATGAGGGTGCTTTAGTGGACGACTGGTAAATATACATTATAAAGATTAAAACTATAGAGTTATATTTTATTATAGTTTTTTCAATTTTGTGTTTTTCCATTTAGGTATGGCGTTCGAAACAACTTTACGCTGTTCAAAGCGGACTATGTAAAGTTGTATATAGACACGATTATGAATGAATTTGTCCGACTAACCAACAACAGGTCAATTTTTGTAAGTTCAAGTCCGAGCAATGGAAAGGAAACGGAGAGCGAGGGATATGTGGCAGCCCATCCTTCGAGTACCTTTTATGGAGACGGTAATATCAAATAAATAATATCCAGAAATATACTTCTAACGACAGTTTAAATTTAACTTATCAATAAAACACTCAAAACAATCGTCGTATCTACTTTTGAGATAGGTTCACATGAATTTATTAATTGAAATAAATCTTTTATACAAGGTGTTTCAAAAACATGTGTATCAGGATTCTTCTTATGATGATCACCAATACACCATGAGGAAGATGCTGATCAAAAAATAAAAAAAGTTATGCCTATTCTAACGGGAACTGTTTAAGGGAATTGTCACGGATTTAGGTAGGTCATTGGCTCGTTTGGCAACGTAGCCCCACGTTGGGCGCCATGCGGATTTATTTCACGGACTTCTCTTGTAGAATTATTGAGGATATTCAAAACATAGGTGAATTTTGAAATTATCACTTCTAACTCTATAACAAATCATCATCATTTCCGTCACCGTATTTTACATTTTTGACAGTTTTTCAAAAATATGTTTTTCTCCATATTTTCAGTTCACTACTATAATTACATCATGGACTCTTTCAATTCCGTGATATTTCCTGTGCCACGTTTCGCCTCCGAATATGGTTACCAGTCCCTACCAAGCGTTAATTCGTTTTTAACTGTTACAAATAGCACTTCCGACTTGAATATAAACAGCGAATTTATGGATCACCGGCAGCATCATCCCGTGGGAAACAGCGAGCTGAAATCGCTGATATCGCACCAATTCACTCTGCCAAACGAGAACAGCGAAAATTACTACAAGGCTTTTATATATTATTCCCAGGTAAATGCGTTATGATATATTTGCAACATCAAGCACCAGGTCACAGACCTAGATATGACCCCGCTGGCAAGCAACATTAACGCATACTTTTTTAGATCGTTCAAGCAGTATCAATCAGAGTTGAAACAGAACATTATCGTCGTTACAGGAGTAGTTTGAACGCCGGAGGGGAAGGTTATACCATGGGGGCTCTCTATTGGCAACTTAATGATGTGTGGGTTGCTCCCACTTGGTCTGGAATCGGTAAATGCAACAATATCTTTCATATTACTTTAGGCCAATTAGAGTTTGAACGTAAAAAAATTATGAGTAGACATTTTATTGCACCTTATGACAGGGAAGGGTATATAGAATGATAATATCAAAAAAGTAACTCGAAAGAAGAGACGCACTTTTTTTACTGTCCAATCTGGACGACCTATAGGAAAATTTGTCATTTTATGTTGTAGGTAGGCAATTAAATTACCTATAATTTATTAAGGTAGGTATCTAATGTCATATTTCACTTATTTGTTAACTGTAAAATGAAGTCGAAAGCGGAAAAATCAGTTTTAGAAAATTGCACATTATTATTCCAGAAAGCGATAGACGTTGATAAAATTTATGGAAAATGCGGTCGATCCAAAGACTAACATGTGCGCCAAAGGCCGATTAGATTGACTTTGAAATTGTTTGTAAATTAATTTCGTTAGTTTTTTTTTGCATTTAATTGTTTAATTGTTATAAACAAATTGTCCCAGGGTCAGGTAAAAGCCGCTCGGGAATTCACTCTTTTTGCAATAAATAGAGCTTATTTTTAGGGCAATTTAAAACAAAGCGAAATAACGCCTGTTTATCCCCAAGATAGTTTGTTTATAATATTAATTGATAATTAACTATTGGACATATCGCATCGGGATTTTAGATACATTCAAAGAATGGATTAAACTTTTATTTTCAAAAAGTTTTGCAAAGATAGAAATGAACACGCTAGCAGCAGTAAAAGTTAACATTCGTAGACAAAGAGTGTTAACGTTAATAAACGGCCTGCACCAGGAGAAGGAGCTCCTGATGCGCGCGACGAGGGCGACGTTCACGCGCATACGCGAGTCCGGCGCTCCTCCCGCGTGCTGTCCGTTTCCGTTCATTAATATTAACTCTTACTGTTGCTAGTGCGTATGTTACATGAACTACCAATGTAAAACTTTTTGAAAATAAAAGTTTAACCCTTTCTTTAATTGTCTCTAAAATCCCGATCCGATACGTCCAATTATTAACAACTAACATTATTAAAAAAGCTATCTTGGCCACAAAGAGGCGTAGGTGATTTCTCTCTTTTTTAAAATTACCGTAAAATAAGCTCTATTTAATACAAAAAGAGCGAATATCCGAGCGGCTTTTGCCTGACCCTGGAACAATTTGTTTATAACACTGTTTTGCATGTTCTACTTCGTTAGTCGCAAAAAGCAACTTAATTTCATCTTTTTGAAATTTTTTTTTTCGATACGTTCCTTTGGATCAATTAGAACCTTATCTACGTTATTAACTTCTAAAATTAACGTGTAGAAAATTAACCAATCAGTTGCAAAAAAAACGAACGAAATTAATTAACAAATACCTGGAGCAACAATTTCACAGTCCATTGAATCGGTCTTTGGCACACATGTTGGTCTTTAGATTGAATGTCATTGATCACTTTTTGCATTAATAATGCGCAATTTCCGAAAACTGATTTTTCCGCGTTCGGCCTTTATTTTACAGTAAAAAATAGGTGAAAAATGACTTTAGGTACCTTAATTTGTAGATAATTTAATTATCTACAACACAAACAACTAATTTTCTGATGAGTCGTCTATATTAGATTTGCATGGGCAGTAAAAAAATTTAAAAACACATAATTTTGCTATATATTTGCTATTTGCCAACTTAGCATCACTTCTTTCGAGTTATTTTTTTAATATTATCATTCCACATGCCCTTCCCCGTCATAAAGCTAATTTTCAGGTTTTATGATCTACTTCGACTTGAGTAATATGTGCCTTCTCGAAATCCATAACTCATTCATATTTAGACAATCATTTAGTGTTTCCTGCAATATTAGCATGTAGTTAGGAGTTTTGTCTGTCAGATTGAACATATATATTTTGCATACCTACGTTCATGGGCGTAGCTAGGATTTTTGCTTGGTGTGGGCCCAGGACTGCAGGCTCTATGGAGACCTCTAAAAAAAAGCTCACACATTTGAAAACCTACACTTTTTCGTTTGATTCTAGAAAAAAAATTGATTTGATGGATGGAAAATTCGTCTAGTATAGTTTTTCGGAGTCAGTTGAACATGTATAAAAACGCCTATCAATAAAATTTAATCTGTTTCATAGGCGTCCCTAAAAAAGTTTTCTGCTAAAGGTAAAAAATTATAATAATTTGTATATAATATGTAGAAAATTTCTATTATATATTCATTTGACCAACAACATATTTTAATTATTTATGTCCTCCAACAATTTTATTATATAATGATGATTGATGGTAAATTTCGTTTTGTTCCGTTTCAAAAGGTTTCGAAAATCCCATGTTGTAATAATATTAGTAAACAAAAATATCCCTCTTATTTCTCCCTTTCGCAATTGTAATATGAATGATTAACAGAGGATGCCTATAATAAATTAAAATTACCTGAGTCACACCAAATTCCGCATTGCTGCACTGCACTGCTAGGCCATTTGTTGACAGCTGACCACATGACCCAGTGCGGCTGTGTTTGTGCTGCATTTGCCTGCGTGCTTATTCTTCAACTGGGCAACCAGACCTATATATGAATATGGCTAAATAAATATGGGAACAATTCAAATATTTCAATGCCGAGTTGCTGCGTCAGCGACCGAACCTGGTATATACTACCAACCTCTTGGTTTTTGAAGGCTATAACAACAACAATGCCATTTTTTAAATTTGCAGCATGCAGCAATAATTAGAGGGGACACCGTTCCCGCCTCCTGCCCTCCCCTGCCCCCTTGGCTACGTCCATTGACTTTATTTGATAAGTTTTTTTAGTAAAAATGTTTTGAATTTATATGAATTAACTTCATAATAAAGCAGAATTTAAAATTCGCGAAAAACGTACATTAAATATTAAGATAAATACGAGGCTGAGAACATTGTAAACAATTATTTTTTTTCATTCTGAAGCCCATAATGAAATGAATTTTAGATCACACTGGCAAGTGGAAGATGCTGCAGTATTACACACAGGAGTTTTTTGCGCCGATCATAATTACTGGACACATAAACGCCGAAAGGACTTTAGAAACATACATCGTCTCCGACTTGCTGTCGCCAGTACTCAACGTGACTGCTTCCATTCAAGTCTATAACTGGAGCTCTTTGGATAGTATCCTTGAAAAGAAATTAACGTTAGATTTGGTAAGGCTCCTTATTAAATGCAAATTGTTTTGTTAGTTATGGTTGTGAAGTATGTATTAAAAAAGCATAGGTAACTGTCCTAGATTTGTGACTCCCACACGTTTCGTGTATCAAGTTCACATGATTAGGAGCTGAATAATAGATACTCGTTTAAAATGACAATGATTTTTAGGAAGCGGGAAAGTCTCATTTAATCGATTCCTTCGATATTGACGATTTCTTAACCGATGCCAAATGTGGCGAACTTAATACTGCTAGATACAACTGCTTAATATACTTAACTTTGTACAAAGAGGGTATAAGAATTGCCCCAGATAATTTTGTCCTGCCTGACAAGATAAAATCATCACGAGTTCAGCAACCAAAATTGCAGGTATGTGTCTTAACACACACAGTTTTCTAAAACTATTTTAATTTTACGTTAAACATGTATTTGATATAATTTCATCTGTTCCTTAATTAAAATGAAGAAATTTGAGGTCGCATGTTTCCAATAATTTTATAGTTATACACTCTGTGTAATTTGTTTCATAGCTGAGCGGAGTAACAAAGCAAAGTGACGAAGGAATTTACGAAATAGAAATCACCACAGACAATATCGCATTGTTTGTATGGTTGGATACCAATAAAATCAAAGGACGATTTTCGGATAACGGACTCTTACAAGTCAATGAATCTAGGAAGGTATACTTTTACAGCGAAGAAGAAACAACAGCGGAAGATTTGCAGAAAGATTTGAGCATCACTAATTTACTTGATGATGAATATGTTACTAGTTAAAGGAATTGAACAATAAAATCTATTGCAGTATATACATTTTTTTAAACACTACCTAAAACCTGAGTGTGTAATCTAAACTGAACTATATGAATGGATATTTTATCCCCAATCTTAATCAGCTTAAGTATAACAAAGATATTAAAAAATATGATCTCTAAAACGAATCAATACGACCCTGTATACAGAAAACAGTACAAGCTAAATACTACATAGCAGGCAGAAAGTATCTTTTTGGGATACTTGCATGTACAGGCTGGTCCATTTTCGGTGGGATTTGAGGGTATTTCAGAAACTACTAAAGATATTATAAATCTGACACCACGTTCTCAAGCTCTATTTTCATGGCAAACTCGACTGTCAAATCAGAAATTTGCTATCTTCATTTGTTTCTGAGTTACAGGGCTTTTCTAATTATAGTGACACTTTTGAATATGTCTGTATCTCAGCTGTTAAATAAGGTAGAGTAAAAGAGAAAACTGCTCAAGACTAATTCTTTGGCGTAGAATTGAATGCTGGTATTAGATTTTTAGTAGGTCTTAAGATTCCAGAGTTATGACCCAGTTTTTTTTTTAATGGAAATCGTAGCTGGTCATGACCTAAAAAAATGGAGATTTTTTTTTGCTTTTCAGCAATATATCACATGTTATAGTTTTACAAACACAGAAGATACAGGGTGTTTTATATTTGTATTTAACTTTGAGTCATAACTCCGAAATCTTAAGACCTACTAAAAATCTAATATTGGCATTCAATTCTACGCCAAACAATTAGTCTTGAGCAGTTTTCACTTTAACTCTAACTTATTTAACAGCTGATATAGACATGTTCAAAAATGTGACAATAACAAGAAACGCCCTGTAACTCAGAAATAAATGAAGATATATAGCAAATTTCTGATTTGACAGTCGAGTTTACCATGAAAATCGAGCTCGAGAACGTCATGTCAGATTGATCATATCTTTCTTTAGTAGTTTCTGAAATACCCTGAATTCCCATCGAAAATGGACCAGCCTGTACACTGTGTAGGGTGATTCAAAACTTCTAAAAAATATATTTTAATATCCGGGGGACTCTTACAAATACAATATTGTAAAAAAAATTAAAAAGGGCAATTCGAAAATGATTTAAAAATACACTTTTACACTGGACTGGAAACTAGTACACTGTAAAACCTGACCTTACGCGAGGCAAAGCAAGCAGTCAGCGACCGGCACGGCGGCAAAGTGTAATCAAAGATGAACGAACAAAAAATTGAAGAATCGTTTCAAAAAAAAATATTCAGCTAATTCGATTGTTTCTGTCGCTATTGTTATTATTAATTAGTAAAATTAATTTGTGGTCTTAAATTAATAAAATAGTATGTTCAAAATTTTGTCCACTGACGTGTACACACATTTGGGCCCATCTTATCAAATTTTTACGAACTAACACAAATGCTGTCTTGCTTCACCATAAATTAAAACGATATCCATCAACTCCGAGTTGTGCTATACACGTAAGCCATTTTTGACAGTTGAAAAACTAATGTAAACACTATCGGAACAACGATAATACTAAAATCGGATTTTAGTATTCGGAATCGCCTAGGGGTACGTGGGCGAATGACGCTATAGAGACTACAATAGCCTAGCGATGTAAAGGTTGAAAATAGTACAACTTCAATATTTTCTTTCTCGGCAACTATAAGGATTTTACAAATTTTTTTTTTCGGTATTGATTCCACTTTTGACATCTATTACCAAATATTTTTGGATAAGTTGTGAATCACCCTGTATTTTTTTAAATTTCTAGAAATAATGTATAACCTTATGTAGTGTCATAAGTATAATGAAAATAGTATAAGTGTCTTAGAGGATATTAATTATTAAAATTTGACACTCAAAAAGATTACAGAAGTATATTATCGACTATGAAGTGACCGGGATGATAAAACGTCTCTCTCTTCACTCCAATTAAATTTTAGACAAAATTCAACAAACTTAAAAATGGGTCTATCAAGTTTAGGAAAATTGTTTACACTATTCCTGCTTTTTCTATAAATTGTTCAAGAAATCCATGAAATATTATAATAACTTAAACTAGTAAAAAACGTAATTTTCAAATTAGTATAATCCTATTTATGGATGTCATTTAATCACAATTTCAAATTCCAAAATTGTAAATAAATAAATAAATGTTAAGTTTTCTATTATTAGACCATTTATTCACCACGCGTCGTATATTATTCTTAATATTTCCTAAAGGTGGAGAAAATGTTTAGAGTAATTTGGACGATTATTTAGTATACCTACTATAAATACTTACTTATCTGTATCTATAAGAACAATCAACATGACATTTGAGAAATAATTATATATAATATGGGATGACTATTGAATTATTGTTGATGCTGGTACTTTTGCCTTATTTTTAAAAATTTCAAAAATATTAAAGCATAATAGAAATAGACATACAATCTACACAAGCGCATGCGTATACCTACCACGAGCAAAAATACAAAGACGTCAATCTTTTTCGCGTTTTTTTAGGGTTATAAACTGTATTTGCGTAATAAATTTGGCATATTTCACATTTCTGAGTCACGATTTGGTAGGGTCCATATGTGTAGATTGCTCATTAAAATGGAATATACAAGAATAGGAAGTTCTTGTTCACAAGTTTCAAAAGAGGTTGGTCGAGGTCGAATGTGAATGGTCGGGCTCGGGCACTCTTGCACTCAAGCGTCATTTGTTGACTGTCAAGTTCTCTACTGTAGTCTAGATTGGTTTCTAGAATTTGGGAGTAACAACTAAAAGAAATCAATATTTTTGTATTTTTGAAAGAAAATAAACCATTCAAACTGGCTTCCTACGAGGAAAACTTTATCGGAATGGATGTGGATCCGATGCCCGGTACTTCCACAGGTAATTGTTTACTTATTTTACAGGTTATGTAAGTGTCACTTAAAAACATCGTTATTTTTCTAGAAAATTGTTGTTATTTTAAGTGTTTCGTATCGTATCCTGATATATAAACAATTCTCGTCGTTCTTAGTTTTAGTTTTACGGGGTTCTTTGACAGATATTATTTATTTTTTGCACTTTTCTAATTAATTCTTACGAATACAGAAGAATACTAGACTTCGGTGGTAAAATATTCAAAATTCACATTTGCTTTAAATTATTTTTGTTTTGTATGAAATAGATTTCAATATTTTTATCGTCATAATTTTAAATACACTTCAATGTTTTTATTAATTAGGTTATAATCTAAATAACATCACTAATTTCAATATAGTGTACCTATAATAAAATTTGTATTAATCATAACATATATTCTAGGCATCTCAACAGCATTGGTGCTACAAACTCTTCCGAAGATTGACGAAAATGACATAATGAGTACTAAATCACCAAAAGAACGATTTTTGGAACTTCTAGATTTATTAGAGAATCACGTAGAGAAACTTAGGAAGGGTGCAAGCCAGTTAGAAGAAGATAGGGATGCATTACTTTCGACATTAGATTCTGTTCGAAATGCAGATTTAATGTACGAGTTAGAAGAAAGTAAGTACATAAGTTGCACATAATGTATTAAATTTGTTGCTGAACGATTTATGTATATATAATATAATTACATTTAATATTAGTATAAAAATATATTCAAAAAATATATTAATTCTGGAAAGTCTTGTAATTATAAGGGTGGTCCAGGTTTTAATTGGAAGACTTTTTCAGTTGAAAGAAGTTTAAAAAACCATTGGCATAGTTTTGATATTTTTTAGGAAGTGTACCTCTAGAAAATTTAAAATTTCTATTTCAACAACTAACTTCTATTAAAAAATTGTAATATCCATGAACCGTTTTTGTAGAACAAATAATTTTAGTTATTTTGAATTTACTTAACTATCGGTGAGAAATAACCTACAAAGTATATTATGTCATATATTAAATGTCATTGTTAAATCAAAGCCTACTGATTTTAATAGTTTACTAAATATTGGGAGTGTTAGGTTACATTACATAGTAGCTTTATCTCGGCAACCTTTTTTTGGGAAAGCCTAATTGGTTAATTCAAAAACTATTTTTTACCATTTATTTTTGTGTTGGGCTAAAACTGTTGCTTGTCTCTTTTCAATATTTTTGTACGTTTGATCATTTAAATATCAAAACTAAACTGTTATCATGTCATGTCATTGTCACAACCTACAATAAAGTACAAAAGTAGCTTTCAGAAGCTGCAGTACAATGCTGGATGGGATATGGAGCCTGCAAAATAGTTGCTTCCCACAATATTGTTAATTAAAAAGTTTTGCCTAATGCGACACTAGTCATGTTTTCGCAGTATCTACAATTTATTATTACAACCCTCCAAAATTTCAGGTAAAGTTGTACAGTATAGTCATGTCATGTATAGTACCTAAAAATAAATATTCATATATATTTTCATTAAATTTATATTATAAATTGGATTTTAAATCACCATGAGAAATTATGTTGTCCTCAACTAAGGCGTGGGGTTTAAGTCTGCTCTATTGACATACCATGTAGGTTATATCTCGCCATTACTCAAAATTCAATGGGGTATGTAGCCTGCAGAATAAATGTTTCCAACAATGTCATTAGTTAAAAAGTTACTAGTTTTCTGAAAAAAAACCCTTGACACTCTTGGAAAACCCTGTATTTTTTAAATTATTCGGTCAGACATTAAACCTGACCTGTACATTATTGGGTTGAGAATAAGTAAATGTCCGTTTTTTTGTTTCATATTTAGGATATTTTATTTTTAACTCTACAATTACCAATATGCTAATCAGTGATGTATTCTCCATTGTTATTTATGACCTCTTCCCAACGTTCCAACAGGTTTCTCGATGCCTCTTCTGTAGAAATCCTCCGGTTTTGATTAAAAAAACTCATCTCATCTTTTCAAACATGTGATAATATGTATTAATAGTCAACTTACAAGTTTAAATAGCTCACACATTTTATAAATCAACCATTGTTACAATTATCAGTTACGATATTACACATTTTATATAATGATAGCTTAACCTTAACAAAAATATGTATTGTAGATACTTTTCTAGATGACAGGGACGATATCCACAGATACGCCGATAGGATAATGAGTCGGTGTCTGACTGTTGAGGTTAAGGTACTTACTCAACGTGATCAAATGCAAGAAGAAGCCCTGTTCCAAGTGAACCACCTCATCGACGGCCTTGTGATAGCGTTAAAGTCCGATCCGGAAACGGCAAAGGCGAAGTGTATTAGTTATATGAACGCTTGTTCCTCGAATATGGTGCAGGGCATTATGGACAAAAGATTCGAATCGGCCCTACTGGGATGCACGGTAGACGATCAAAAGAAAGTTAAAAGGAGACTGCAGGGTTTACTGCATTATTTCGACAAATTAAAAGTTCAGTCGTTGCAATAGATAAGGCTTTTTACCTCCGCTTTCCTCATCAAGTAAAGTATATACATATTACGTGAAGCGTTAAAAATTATAGTGTATGTACTGCACATGTGGCTAAATTTTCTTTGCAGTTCAGTATTGTAAATGGTAACTATTAAATAGTAACTTTAAAAAAAAAATGAGGCGTTTGTATCGAATATGCTATATTAGTTGTACTTATTCTTTCAGTGGAACACCTCCTTCGTTTTTTTTTTTTTTTTTCAGGCATATGGTACAAAATAGTTTAAAGACATTCTCAATATTCCATTATTAGCCTAATTGTTCAACGTATCTACTATGTATTTACAAGAATAAATTGTTATATTATTACAATCATTTTGTGGTTTTATTTATTCAAACCCGTTAATATGGCTACAATATGTATTACTGTTGGTAGGAAAATTTGAGAGTGAGTGAGTATTTTTATACAGGGTGCTTCAGAACTTATCCAAAAAAAAATCAGGATGTACAGGGGATTTACAAATACAATTTTGTAAAAAAAATCAAAAGGGCAGTTCAAAAATGATTTAAGAATACACTTCTGCAAAGCACTTGAAACTGGTCCACTGTAAAACCTGACCTGGCACAATGGGTCCGTCATGGCGGCAGTGATAAAAATGGAAAAAAATTTGAAACAATTTCGCAAGGAAAGGAATAAATAGAATTTTATAGCATCTATTTTATATCGGCAAATTCAACTGATTTTGCCGCTATTGTTATTATTAATTAATAAAATTAATTTACGGTTTTAAATAATAAAATAATTTGACATACCTGATGGTACAACAGCTGTTCAAAATTTTGTCCAACTTGTTAATATATTTGTGTCTGTTTTACTCTGTGTCTACGAAATAACATATAACACAAATGCTTCACGATAAATTAAAACGAATCCATCTACTCCAAGTTGCTATACACACAAGCCATTTTTGACACTAACTACTAACACTACTAACTACTAAAAAGCTACTGTAAACACTATGGCAACGACGACTGTAAAATCGGATTTCAGTATTCGGAGTTGCTGAGGCCATGTGGCTCTCCACGCGTATTACAAATGACTAAAGACTACAGTGTGATGGTGTAATGGTTGAAGGTATAACTTCAATAATTTTTTTCTCGGAATCTATAAGGATTTTACAAAAAATTTTATTATGATATTGACTCCATTTCTCATGCCGCATCCATTCCCAAATTGTTTGGGATAAGTTGTGAATCACCCTGTACAGTGTGTAAAAATTACAGACGTGACTAAAAATATTAAGTGTGACCAAAAAATTTGAAATATGTGATTTTTCCAATGTAAGTGAATACAAAGTACTTGATATTAGCAACCTTTATTTTAAAAATAATGTATATTACAATAACCAATGTAATGGACCAAATTTCACCACTAGATACTACGATGAAAATTAATGGCAGTAGTCAATAGTTCAAATAAAAATTTATTGACCGTTGTTTTAATGTCATGAAAAATAATGTTGAAGATAAAAAAAAAATTAAACTGACTAAAATAAAAAAAAAGTTGCCAGATTTAGAATCTACAACCTTACTGAAAAAGATGTTCACTTGTTTCAAATCCATAAAATGTATTATTTTCAAGATAAACTAATTTTATCCAGTGCACACCAAGTTTTTACAGATTTGTCGTAAAATTTTTGTCTCGAAAACCCAAACATCTGAAGCTGGTCTGCAAGTCTTATTAATTTAGCAACAGAACAGAGCTGGGTGTATTTTGACAAAAAAAAAAATACCAAATAGTATTTTAAATATAAAACAGTATTCTCTATTTTGTAATACTTTTGTTATAACTCCAGAAATACTTTGTATTTCAAATACTTCATTAAAGTAAAAATACAAAAGTATTTCAAATACTTTATTAAAGTACATTTTGAAAGTATTTTGCCCAGCTTTGCTACAGAATAATCTAGAACTTCCCATTTATTTTTTTTTTATTCTTCTTAGGTTTTTAATGGTGCCGGATTAGTGAGATTGTACTGTATGTGCATTACCAAAATGGCCAGCCACTTCAAAAATGTTTTTGGGATATTATGCATTTAAATAGACGAAATTCTTATATTTTTAAATGAGAAAACCTCAGTTTCATGTACTTTGTACAAATTGTTCTGTAATTTGAAAAAGTAACCTAAAAATTACTTTTTGACCAAGTCAGTGACTTTAGTGGCAAAAATTATTGAAGTGACCCCGTAAGAACAGCGATTAACTCCGATGATGGCTTGGGTAGCTGAAAACACTTAGCGATGATTCTTTAAAAACAATGTAAAACTGTAGGTCCTTTCTGTAAGCAATGTTAGGTAAGCAAAAGTTCCCTACCCGTGTTTAGTTATAGTAGTAGAAATAGGCCTATGTAAAATAACCAAAAAGAAAAAATGGAACATATTTAATTTTGGCTGGCTTTAGAATGTGTGCTAAAATAATAATGTCCTATTTTATTACTTTTCCTATTTCTAGTTTTGTTTGCAGTTTTTTTCAACTTGTTTGGCTGCATATTAATATCACTATCAGTTTCTACTTTTAAGTGATGCATTTGATGAAAGTTGTATATATTCACTCCAAAATAATAGAAATTGTATATCATTGACCACATACATCAGAATATTACCACATACTGAACAAAAAAAATAGTATACAATAAAACTACCCAGTATGGCAGCTGTAAGAGTCCATTTCTTTTATATATTTTACTTTTCAATATGTCATACAATGGTAAGAACCACACAGCACAAGTTAGGAGAGCGTTTAATAAATTTATTAATTTGATATATGCAATTTGAGACATTCAAAAATTTCTTTAGATGTAGTATTTAACTTATAACTTCTTATAAGATGAACTAACGAACGCATCGAACCACAAATCAGTATTATCCCCAGGGTTCCCACTATTTATTAAACTTTATAATAAACTTCTGGAAAGTATAAAAAATATTAAAGGATTTCATAAATTTAAGGTGATTAAAAAAATGTTAGTAGAATTAGAACCATATAGTTTAAATGATTATTTGTTAAAATAGTTTTTAGGTAGGTATTCTTTAGTTTACAATACTGACAATATTTCATTTTTGGTGTAGATACAATTAATGGTCTGTTACAGTGTAGCTTTATCTTCTCTGAAATAAATATTATTATTATTATTTCGACGTCTTATTTACACATCAAAGTGTCAAACTCTATAAATGACAAATAAAGGGAGTTAAACATTACATTATTATTAGGAAAAAGAATTCCTGCAGCTGTTTTCTTCGTCTAATAACTAAATAAGTACCTCTCGTTTTGTCCAACACATTTGTATGTACATACAGGGTGTTTATTAACTACTTATACAAACTTTAATGGAAGAATCTTTGACTAATTTTAAGATAAAGATGGGTCTTGAATCAAAATATCAAACAATTTTTTTTGGGACACTCTATATCTGAAGAACCAACTGTTGCGGACCCCCATGGTAATATGAACTTTTTATCTTAAAATTAGTCAAAGATTCGCCCATTAAAGTTTGTATAAGTACTTAATAAACACCCTGTATATGCAACAAAATATGTACATACTTTATTTTTTCAGCCTGTAGAGTAGACAAACCTTATTCAAATTCCAAGTGATAGGACAAGATTATGAGAGGTTTTTTTTCAGGACACAGTTTTGAACATTCCATCTCACAGCCAACTGTGTCATAGTAAGAGATGGAAATTTCTTGAAAACTTTAATTGTGGGATAGGTAATTGAATGTTTTGTGAGATACAAAATAGTACAGATACTTACCATTAGTCTGAAAATTTCTATGGGGTAAAATCATAGAGAAAACAAAATACACCATAAATATTTTTTATTACTTTTTTTTTATAAAAATATCAGCACATGTTATAATGGCACAAGAAAATTGTTCAGAAATTGAGCAAAAACGTGCACATACAAGAAAATATACAATTATTTACAATATGTAATAACAGCACAATAAAATAGGTATTCGTTGCCAGATATGCAATGATACATAGTTTCCAATTCAACATCTTATAACAATATAACAATATTTAATAGTATATTTGTACATTTAAATTAAAGGAGTAATCCAAGGATCTAAGTCATATAGAAATATTTAGTACTCCCTGATATATGCATAACTTCAATAATTGAATATAATTTTATATAATACCTAATGAAATAAATGTATATTATTTCAGCAGCAACAATGAAAAGGCAAAATTTACCCATTTTCAGTTTGTACGTAGCCAGCTCCTTTCAATTGCTCAAAAGTAAGCAGTGTAATCGCAAATCTAAGACAATTCCGAGTTACATAGATATTTTTACAATATCTCCTATCAAATGGACAAATTTATTTCCATCGTCAGTTGCAATAACAAACGAATATTACCACAGCAATAAATGTGGATTATGTTTTAACATTATCAAATACAATTTTTTCAAAACTCTGTATTGGATCTTGAAATATTAGGCAAAGTTTTTCAATTGATGGACGAAATATTCACAAATCCTCGAATCAGCTTTTAGAATGAACAAGACTAAAATTAGTAATTTTCCCATAACTCGTGTGCAAAATATGGCAGTATTATAAAAAAAATATATAAGAAATTAACTAATTTACAGTTTGGCCATTTCCTGTGCTATATGTATACAGGGTGATTTCCAATTTATGACTGTTTTTCAACCATGTACATATAAATGCAGTAAACATAAATTTTTCAAATGACTTTTTAAATAACTAAAAAAGTATATGTATATAGTTTCAAAAGTTTTTAAAAAAATTATCCATACACATTTATCTTAGTTACAAACCACTACTCTGCGAACAACAACCCTGTCCAGCCTTGAATTACACGCATAATATCTCGTATCGTCCACATGTAGACAGATCAGGACTATAAAAAAGAATTAACTTTCTATTTATCTTATTTTTGAGTTATTTAAAAAGTTATTCGAAAAATTTTATTTAATTACACAGTTAAAAAAAGTATAAAGCGGAAGGTCACCCTAAACATTATTGAAGATAAAACAACTTTTGGTACTACAAATAATTGAAGCGCCCATATACAATGTCTATTAATATTTGGGCAAGGAAAACATTCCGTTTTGATATGTTGTGATGTATAACAAATATATTATTATTAATGTAGCAAAATCCATCTTAAGACAGTTTTACTACGAAGGAAACTAACTGCCGAAGACACATCATTCTCCAACAGGACAATGCAAGCTCTTACAAATCGGCTCAAATAAGAGACTTTTTGAAAACTGAAAGTCGACTTGACGAGTCATTCACCGTATAGCTCTGATTTGACTGTTCAAAATGCATGTTTAATAAGTACCTCAATCGGAATGGAAAAAGTGCTTTGAAAAGTGGTTCAAATGTATTGAAAAGTGTATCCATCTTTATGGAGAATATTTTATATATATATATATATATAGTTGTTACGATGTCAATTGGAACCTGTAAATCTTAAAGCACGGGACCGTATGCACTTCTCTTGAAATTTCTTCCTATGCTGTGACCATGATGTGTCTCGTAACTTATACTCGAATAGTAATTCGGCGAGTCCGGTATTGGTAAACTAGTCCGCCTAATGTAGAATTGACGGCAGCGTGCTGGTCAACAAAGCAAACCTGTATTGGTCCACTAGGTCGTAAATAATTTTTTTGTATGGTACACGGGTTCACTTAGCTTTGCCGCTTTGCCAGTGCAGTGTAGAGCATTGCTTGGCGGGGTATGTTGTTGGAATAATACGTATTATTATTTATTACTTGACATTATTATTTGTTCATATCGTAACCAGTAAAGGGTAATAGTTATTAAAATAAATGTTATATGTAATCATCTAGTAATTTAGTGTGGCTCTCTGAAGACTCTTTGAAGCGGAGGATAACGAAATAACTCGAGAAAATCCCCAAATAGAGAACCGGTCGAAAGTATCGAAACAAAGTCAGAGTTTAAAAACAAAGATTTACACGTAAAAAGTGAACGTATTATATTAAATATATATGAATGTTTGAAAATTGAAAATAGTGAACAATGTGATAAAAAGTTAGGAAACATATTAACAAATTAACTAAGATATCAAAAACGACAATTTATCACGTAATTAAAGACGGATTGATCACGGTACAAAGAGGAAACGGAAAAATACAAAATTAAAGAAAATTGACGATTTTACCAGATGTAATGCGGCGCACAATTTATAATATGTATAAAGAAAATAAAGTTCCTACTTTAAACATGATTCGAGATAAATTAAGTGATTATCCTGATTATAATTATAAATCTTTAGATATTCTAGAACATGCTTTATTACAATGCGATAAAAAACTTGACAATCGTATGGTAATTATATGGTAATATAGCTCGGAATATAGTATATCTAGACGTGATAGAGCTAAATTTTTCTGGACGTCTATGGATTCCGTAGAATTGATGAGTTAAATGTTTTTATGTGGGCTCCAATTGAGATCGTAACAACTATATAATGATTAATCTCTCTCTTTATTTTCTATTTCCGAAGTATAAAAGGTACCCCTCGTATTATTACTGCCAAAGACATATTTCTTAACAACAATGCACCAAAACAATATTTTTCCATTTCTGCAATTAACAGGCAGAGTAATAAAGTGTAACGGTAACACAGATGTGCGATTTTACCGCAATTTAAAAATAACAGTAACTCTTAAAATCGCGAGATTCCCAAAAATCCAATTTAAAAACTTTACAAAAATAACAATATCCTCGAATGACACAATTTCTTTAGGAGCCAGCACGGCTGGTAAGTTATAAGAATTACTTAAAAAAGTCAAACAATTCACTTACACCTTAATATACAGTATGTCATTGTACTTATATAGTTTAACTTTGTAGTATGCATCTATAAGTCCTCTATCGCAGATACTTATGATATATTATTATTGAGTAAGCAGATCTTCGATTTCCAAAACTAATTTCGCAAATGGTGGTCTACTGTGTGGATCTGCCTCCCAACAAGGATAGATTATTCGGATATACACTACCTTAGGGCAATTGGGAGGACACGGAAACCTAGCAATAAAAATTAAAATCAAATTAAACAGCCTGAAGAATGTACAAAATTAATTTTTTTCAAAAACTGCCATTAAAAGTTGACTTTAACATGATATTTAAAAAGTGTCAAAACAACAGTTTTTTGTCTACAGAATGTAAAAGTTTTTTTACATTCAGGATGTAAAAGATTTTACATCTACCTACAAAAATCAATGAAATTATAGAAAGACAAGGCGAAATCGGCAGCTTCGTATGAAAAAATTTGTGGATTTGTGATTTTTTTGCATAATCACCTCCGTGAGATGTCCCTGAATTCACATCAATAGTGAACGTTTTCAGTGAATTTGTGAAAATGGAGAAAATTGGTCATCGTTATGTGATACGATACTTTTATTTGAAAGGCCTCAGCTCAACCAACATAAAAGCTGAACTAGATTCTACTCTGGGTGAGTCTGCTCCTTCGTTTACAACCATAGATAAGATATACTATGTAAGAAATTTACAACAGTAAAATATTAGGTAGCAGAGTTTAAACGAGGCCGTACGAGCTGCCAAGACGAACATCGCAGTGGTCGACCAAATGAGGTGACGACTCCAGAAATGATGAAGAAAATCCACAAAGCGGTACTGCACAATCGTCGACTGAAAGTGCGCGAGCTAGCAGATGTTGTAGGCATTTCAAAAAGTGCGGTACATCGTATATTATCTAAAAATTTGGATATGAGAAAGCTGTGTGCAAGATGGGTGCCACATTTGCTCACACTCAAACAAAAACAGTGTCGTGAAGATATTTAGCGAAGTTTCACAGCAACAAAGCAGAATTTTTGCGCCGTTTCATAATGATGGATGAAACATGGGTCCATCACAAACGAACGATCAAAACAATGGACTGAAAATGGAGACCCGGCTCCAAAGAAGGCGAAGATCGTTCCATCTGCAGGCAAGGTCATGGCGTCGGTTTTTTGGGCTGCGTGTGAGATAATTTTCATTGACTATCTTGAAAAAGGAAAAACTATCAAGGGCGAGTATTATGCGAACTTATTGCAACGTTTGAGCGAAGAAATCAAGCAAAAACGGCCGCACTTGGCTAAGAAGAAAGTGTTGTTTCATCAAGACAATGACCAATTTTCTCCATTTTTACAAATTCACTGAAAACGTTCAATATTGATGGCTGTCAAACAAATACTAAAGAACATGACGTCTTCAAACTTAAAACATATGCTTTATAGATTGTGTATTTTCTAATACAGTGATATTTTTCAAACAACTACCGCCATCTCTAGGTCAGGCCGGGTACTTCTGGGACCACCCTCGTAGAATAAAGACATTATTAAATTATAAATAAAAAAAATTATGATTTTTATAAAAAATTTAGACAAAAAAATTGCAAAAAAAGATTTGTAATTTTCACAAAGTTGATGCATGTTCTTAAAATCTAGTTAAAAAATATATTTGAACTGCCAATATTTTTATTAACCGCACAAACACTTATAGAACTGAATAATTTTATTGAAATGTAAGAAAATATTTTTTGATGAATAAAATATTCTAAAAAGTATAGTACAAGTAACTTTAACCTCTACTGAAGAGGTAAGATTATAATCCACAAAACGTTTTCTTAAAAAAAATATATAATTTTTGGAATATTTGTCTTACCTTGCACCTTTCTCTAAAGCATTCAGTAAAACTTGCTGCTGTTGTCCCTCTATTTCTTCGTCGATATTCGCCAAATTAGGTTCATCCCCATAATTAAACATTTCACACATCGTAACGCCATACGACCAAACATCTGATCGCACTGAGAATTTTCCATCTCGCAAACTTTCTGGGGAATACCTAAAAAATGAATTATTGTTTTCTAAAATTATTAACATTTCGTTTTAAGAATAATTCAATTTGTAATAAACGTTTACCATTTTATTGGCAATTCTCGGTTCGGTGTTTTCAATATGTAGTAGTCATTCGTTCCCATAACTTGGGCTAATCCAAAGTCAGAAATTTTTACGTGGTTATCGTCAACAACCAATATGTTTCTGGCTGCCAGGTCTCTGTGTACAATATTTTTTGTTCCTAAATAATCCATTCCCTAAAAATATAAAATAAAAATTAAAAGAAAGCAAAAAATCAAAGAATTAATAATTACATTTCGACGCTTTACTGTTTAAATAAATAAGTAAAAATAGATAAACTAATTAGAAAAAAATAAATAATAATAAAAAGCAAAAAATTATAAAATAATAATAATAAATAAAATAAATAATACTGTTTATTTTATGCTTAAAACTTTAAAAGTTATAAACAAATGAAGTCATTTTTGAGACAATTAATACTAAGTGCATAATGCATTATTTCTAAATAAATCAATTTTCCTATTTTTCTAAAAGAAAATCCCAAAACTTTTGTGCATAATTTTTTTACACCATACATACTTTTTTGAAATCGTTTAATTCTTTTCTCTATATTTATTTGGCTAAATTGAGCATAAGAGATTTACAATTAATTACAAGAATAAAACGGAAAATATATACAGGGTGTTTCAGAAAGACCTCCCGTAAATAAAGGGGATGATAGTACGACAAAAAATGAGAATTTTTTGTNTTCAGATATCCGGTTTTGGCGATTCAAGTAACGGGTTATTCGAATAACCGGTTTTAGCAACTATTCGACTAACCGGTTTTATCTGAAATCGGTTTTTACGGAACCCGGTTAACCGGTTTCACTTTTTTCCGGTTTTTGCCAGCACTACTGAAGTTCACATAAATGGAAGTCAATTAGACAGAATAAATTAACTGTTACAGCTGCCGTACTGGGCATTTTTGCATGATCTAATTTTTTTATTTAGTCTGTGTCGAATGATCAGTATTTTAAATGTGCTACAAGATAATGTTGCGTAATTAAAAAAATATTGCAATCTATTTAGGATTAGAAATATTAAACATTACCTTCGCTATGTCTAAGGCATATTTTAAAAGTTGCCCATCTTCTAACTTCTCTTTGTTTATTTTCAGATAGCTCTGAAGGGATCCATGTTGTACAAATTCCATAACCAGCGATACTTCTGGTTCTCTTAAAACGCCTAATATTTCCACAATATTCGGATGGTTCAAAGCCTAGAAATTTAATTTTGTAATTAAACGTAAAAAAAATTAATTGTGAAAAGATCAACTCACTTTCATTATATTAATTTCCCTTTCGAAATCTTGTATGCAAGATGAAAGCGCCGTAGCCTTCAACTTCTTCACTGCTACTTTTCTGGGTTTTTCGTCTGGGCGATTTACACTTTCTAAACTGGCTCTGTATACTTCCCCATAAAATCCCTATAAAAATACTCATTTAGTAAGACTTAAAACTATAAGTTGCAATGCATATAAAAAATCCATATAAAAAAAAAATTAATGAGAAAATTCGTGACTATGTCATAAGTTAAAGTGCAAATCCCAATATGAATCTTACCTGACCAATTCTACCTTTCAGAACAACATCATAATTTCCGTCCAATTCAAGGACACTTTGCATGGAATTTAAACTGTCCAGAGAGGTAGTCGCTGTTGACAGATTTAACGGTGAGAGGAAATGTGACCAATCGTACGATTCATCATTCAAATCTTTTAGCGAATAACTAGACTCGCTGGACATTTCATTGTCACGCAGATTATCTATAAGCACTGTAGACACTAAAAATAAAAAGGGAATTAGTAAAATGACTCTGGTTAATATATGAAAACCTACCAGTTCTTGATGAACGCAGGCTATTTGTCGACGACCCAAGATCATTGAATTTGGGGCCGATTTTAGCATACGAATGTTTCTGTCTTGAGTTGAACACTATAAAAATAATTTACATTTAATTGTTAATGCCAAGAAAAATATAGACGAAAATTTCACATTGCTGTTTTGTAGCCAACCAAATGACGTTATTTTAAAACATTACTACCATGGCAACGAAAAGCTATCGTACAATTTTTCTCTTGGTGGTACCCTAGACGAAATTACGCTGAACATTTTTCTGTCATTTAATATTTGTGACATACACAGTCTATCAAGTTTTAAGATTGATTTTACTGTGACGAAATGCATGGCGCTAGTGAGAAGTCTTCTAAGTAACCAAACAAAATCTGCTAAAGTCAAGGTATCGAAATTTGATAAAAAAGTATCAAAAGGTAATTACATTATCTCGCGTCTGTGTAAATTTAAGATTTGTAAGATGCAAAATAAAAAAATTATTAACAAAGAACCAAAAAAGAACAGTAACTAGGGTCCTTATTTCGACAATTTTTTAATATACAGATTTCAAACCAACTGCATCAAATAGTGCTTAAAAAAACATGAATTAAGAAAAAAAAAGTGTCTCGATCCAACCAATAGGAGCAAAGATAATTTTTTTTTTCTTTAAACGGTATTATGGCTGTTCTGTTTAATATTTTGTAAAATAGATTCGACCAAGAAGTGACCAAGTACACGTTCATTAAAGACAGCGTGTCTTTTTTTAATTTTTATAAGAATATTAAAAATAAAATAAATATTTAATGAATAGTATATTTTAGACTTCGATAAATTTTGCCATTTTGCCACATTCAAGTCACATGCTCTACAACGTAAACCATTAACGTGAAAAATTTATCGATGTCTAAAATATATTATACATTAAATATTAATTTTACTTTTAATATTCTTATAAAAATTAAACTTTCACTAGCAATAAACATGGTAGAATTGAATGTAACAGTTCTTTTAAATACTATAAAATGCTATACTTATATGTATGTAATGTTGATATTGTAACATTCAATAATATTCTAGACACAATTTGCGCAATAAGTGTAACAGTTAATTTTAAGACGATATTTTATACGTCGACCTCTTCTGAGCACGGTAAATTTTCATTCATTCATCATTTCTTTTCAAATAAATAATTCACTTTTGTTTTTAAATACGCAAAAAGACCTTACTTTTCAAAATATTAAAAGCATAATGAAATTACAAAACAAAATGTGAAAAGTCGGTAAAAATGTATTTTTCTGGATCTGACGATGACTTTCACAGACTTTTGTTTACACCACTCAAAGAGCGGAAAAAAATAAATCGATTTTAAAAAAAAGCATCCCGGTAGCTGCTTTCTAAGTGCCACAATCCATTTGTTAAGTAAGAATTTTGAGAAATCGAGCGTAGCATGGGCACTATGATGTCACAGCTCTTCCCTCCCTTGGCTACCGCTCAACCGCTTACTTACCGTTTTTTTTTTTGTTTTTTGTTAATAACTTTTTTATTTTGCAACTTAAAATTCTGAAATTTACACAGACGAGATAATGTAATTACCTTTCGATCCCTTTTTTACCAAATTTCGATACCTTGACTTGGACAGAAGATACACACGTTTGTGTTTTCGACTTTATAATTTTGCAATAGGCCGCAATTTTGAAATTTGGGGTCCGCATTGCGGGTATTTGTTGAGCACCCCAACAGTTCTCTTTTCCTGTAGTTTCATCCAATTTCAGTCTTTGCAAATTTTTATTTTTTTGTTATGAACAAGATGACGCTCGACCCTTACAAATACACAAATTTAGGTTCTTATTCTGTGTACTCTTTACTTAATTTTAAGCCCATAAAATTCGAGGTAGACCCGATTTCTGAAAAAAAAAAAAAATTCACCCGGACTACTTCAAGTTCTGTTTTAAAACCAGTAAAACAGCAACAGAAACGTGTTACAAACGGCGTATCGTGAGGTGTGTATATCACGTCTGACTGTGTTCTTTTCGTATTATTGATTGATCTTCTTTACCGATATGAGACATTTTAAAATACTATACAATTTCGACAAAGGTTCAGGGTGACTACACATCTAACGTTAAGGTGAGTGCGGCTAGCATGGCTTTCCTTACATTTTGATTTCAATGAGTCGGCTTCAAAATGTCGGGTTTGATTTTTAATTTTATTTAAAATTTTCGAGTGAAACTTTCTTATCAAATTTCAACACGTGCTTAAATTATTCTGGGAAACTTTTTCTTGGTCATGAATATTTTTAGAAAATTATCCGACATTTTCGGCTTAAAATAATTTTCAAAATATTAGTAATCTTGAAAAAATTTCTCAATATAATTTGAACGTTAGTGAACATAAACCATTTAATTAACTTACCCTGGTAGAGTATTTGGTTTATATCTCGACTGATGGCCTGCGGTTTTTTCCTTTTGTGAGGGTCTATATCCCAACACTCCTTCATGATATCATATATCTCCACCAGACATTTTTCGGGTTGTGGTAATCTTTTCCCACTGATGTAAGCCTAAATATTGTTTAAAAACAAGGACCTTTAAGAATATTCTGAACAATTTCAAGGAAATTAATAACATTTAATGACCTTTCAAGTGTATGAAAAGCAATAATGTTAGTAACATAATGCTAAAAAAATTACCCTTATCTCCAGTCCCTTCTCATTTGGGTCATCCCCACACGTAAACATTTCCCACAAAGTTGTAGCAAAAGCCCAAACGTCAGCCTCAATAGAACGTCGGGCAAAATTGAAATTTGAGTAGCATTCCACCGGTATCCAATGTATCCTAAATTATAACAATTAACTTTGATGCAGTCACGTTTTGCTAGAAGTACTTACTCTGATGAGCTATATTGGGTGAAGATTCCGGGATCTGCCAACTTCACAGTAAATGAATTGTCGTCGTGGGTGCTCACTAATAATTTTCGGCACCTTATATTGCCGTGAACAATATCGTTTTCAGCCTACAAATAATTTATAAACAATCATGGATATTTAATACATCTTCAAGAGCACAAATCAACACAGCATTAAATAAAAGATAGACAAAAGTAACAAAGTAAAAATAAAATGTGTTACCTAAATATTTAATGCATAATTAATTTATAAATATGCACCTTTTTTCTTCTTCAAATTAATCTGATAGTCTCTTTACAGAATTACTAAAATAAGTTAATTTTTACTTTGTCATCTTTTAATTTAATAAATATACTGATCAAAGTTTTATCCATGTTTCGTGGAAAATTTCTTTATTAAATAAGTTATATTGGAATAAAATCTATATAAATAAAAATTAAATGCTGTTCATTTGTAAGCACATCACTTGAGAATGGCTGGACCGATTTGGCTAATTTATTTTTAAATGTTCGTAGTAGTCCGAATAAGGTTTTTAGGGAAAGAAAAATTGGAAAAGTTGGCCGGAAAATTGGAAAATTCGGGAAAAACTGAGTGCTTATCACAATGATATTTATTGAAGTTTAGACAGGACAACATCTGTTGGATCAGCTAGTCATTAATAAACATTCATTCATAACTTGCTCTAAGTTTGACTTTTAGTTCTGTTGATCTGAATGAGATGTCGCACCGGTATAAATTAATCTGTGAATTAACAGTTAAACTATTTTTCATGAACATTTTGTTATATACAAAGCTGGGCAAAATACGTTCAAAATGTATTTAAAATACAAATTACAATATACTAGTACGAAAGTATTTTAACATACATTCTTAAAAATAAAATACTTCTTTAGCAAAGTATTTTAAATATAAATTACTTAGTATTTAAAATAGTATTTTAAGTATGTTGAATATTAAATATATTGAAAATATTCATTAACAGTATTTACAATATTTTGTGAAATATTAAATCTGAAACTCTTTAGATGTGACTTAAAAAAAATATATTGTAAGTGCAAGGCAAGCCTGATTTCAAGATCATCAAAAAATGAAAAAAAAACGAGACTTGAATCTGGAAACAATCATTTTGGATTACTGAGATGCAGAATATTTAATTCACTCATAATTTTTTATTAGTTTTTCTTATAATAGCCAACTTATGATAAAACAAATTAATTGAAGGTGCGTAATTTTTATGTATCTGTTTTTGGTAGGTATTTTGTGTATTTAAATTACTTTTAAAAGGTTTTAAATACTTTTTAAAATACAAAATACTTTATTAAAGTATTTGAAGTACAAAATATTTTTGGGGTTATAACAAAAATATTTTAATTACAAAATACTATTTTATATTTAAAATACTATTTGATTTTTTTTTTGTTTACATACTCTCAGCTCTGTTTACATATTAAGTTTAAAGATAATATACCAAATTTGTTTCTCAATTGGTGCATAATAATTTTATTTTACGAGATGTCATTTAAAAAGTAAAATCAAAGCTAATAATGCCAATATATTTAAAATTTTATTAATACTGTCTTATTATTTTATGAAAAATGCAAGATTTGTGCTGTTAATAAAGGTTATTCTGCACTTTTCAGTTATATGTGAAACAAACTACATATATCTATTCTCTGAGAAATTATAATAGACCCATAAAACAGTCTATTCTTTTTTAATAGGTTGACTTGTTCAAGGTCATATTTCTCTGTACCCCCTTTCATAGTATCTATATTAGTAGGTCACTCTCTGCTAGTGAGTAGAAAGCATTGTTTTGTACCAGTAGGCACTGAGTGGCAATGACATTTAATATATGACATATTCTTTGTAGGTTATATCTCACCTATACTAATATTTAACAATTTTTATGCACAATTTACTTATTAACTTATAGATAATTAAACAAAAATAATCGATGCAACACTAAATAAATTATACATACCAAGTGCCATAAAGCTGCTGCCAAGTTACTAGCAGCTTCTATTAAGTCGACAGTTTTCATGATTCCACGATTTGCCTGTAAATATTGATCTAAGGGACCCAGTCGGAAATATTCCAAAACCATGGAAATACTGCTGGTAAAAGCTATTCCGTAAAGTCTAACTATTGCACTAGACTGCAGAAAGGCCCATTGTCCAGCAAGTGTTAGAAACTCCTACAAAGGCAATTTCGTTTTCAAGAAAATTGTATTGTTTTTTTTTGCAAAAACTTTTAGTTTAAAAAATCAAATTGAGATTATTTACGAATATTAAAATAATACATTATACTTCCCGAATACCTTTAAATAATTATCGGGATTTTCTTGCTTCAACATCTTCATGGCCACCTCAATTTTCTTTCCTTTAGTGACCTTCCACATACTCCTAAAAACCACCGTTTTACCGCCAAAACCTTCTTTTCTCTGCCCTAGAAAGAAATAAAATAAGATATTCCTAGCCATAATGCAACATAATTTTTTATGGTATATTGGAGAAGAAAATACAAATAGTTTTTTTTTGCAACATTTATTTCATTTCAATTTTCTTCTGTTCCTTTTAGTTTTAGGATTTTTTCTTAATGTACAAAATTTGAAATAAATTACAAGGAACGAAATAACTAACAACACAACAGAAACTACTATAAAGATAAGTGCGACCAAAACATTTCTGTCCGTTTTCAACCATCCAAATAAGGGGGCCGTTAACTTGTCTTCCATCAAATTTGTATACACATTCGGAGCTTTTTTAACATTCACTTTGAGGTAATTAGTAACCCAAGACAATTTTAAATCCTTTTGCTCCACTACACATCTCCAGTGCCCCGTATGGGACATATTTAAGGAGTCGAACTGGTGTATATTCACTGCAGCTAAAGTGGTGGTTCCATGATCAATATAAACTTCATTATTCAAAAACAGTTTCAAGCTGAGATCAGTATAAATATACCCCAAAATAACGGAATTGCAGTTTAAAATTAGCGATCGCGTTGCTCTGGTATCATAATCGTAATTCTTCGAGATAACAGCTACGGATATGACGTGCAAAACTACCCTTTTCTTGTTTATTCTAAACAGCATGCACACATAAATTCCGGCATCTTTTATATTAGCATTTTCTATTAAGATGTTATCGCCCTTGAATATTACATGGTTCGGGTCTTGTTTTATAAAAATTCCATTTAACGTCCACTCGTAATAAGCATTAGGGGACTCCTTCGAAACAATTTTTAACAACTGTCGATTGTTTTTCAACAGCAACGAACTGCCTAAAAATACTTCCTTGTTAATATTTAAAGAAATTTGTGACGAGTTATATACCTTCATCGATTACATAGCTGTAATTATCTTTCTGCAAGTAATCTTGAATTTTTTCCAAAGTTTGGGGACTTAGGTCCCCACACGGAAAATCGTTACATTTCCCGGTGGATGTAGGTGAACCTTGGCAAAGTTTCCCAAAAATATTTGGATGAGGATTTGAACATTTTCTCGTACGATAACCCTCTCCGCCACCGCATGTAACCGTACAAGTCCAGGGTGACCAAGCAGACCAGCCTCCGTCTCTTGGGGAACCGTCTAAGTCCAACGGTTCGCAATTCGCACTCCATGTCACCCACCCGGATTCTGCGGCAACGGTAAACCAGTATATCACTAATGGTTTTTGACTTTTGTATTCAAGGACAGTTTGATTGTCCTTTTGAATGATAAATGCGGATTCGTTGAATGATACAAGATACATTGTCCATGAATTCGTGGTCATTATGTTTCTTACTGGTGACTTCTGTAGAAGACGTTCAGTTTCATCGACCACATTTGATAAAGCAATAGTACCTACAAGTGAAGAATAAGGTCATTATTTTGTGTACATATTACAGTAAAATGGATAAAAATCATGTACTAGAAAGGCACTTTTTGAAATTAGTGACCTGTACGGTAGAAACAAAAAAGTATATTCTTGACCAATTGAAATGATTTTTTAAAGTATTTTTTGGATTAATAATATTGTGAGAAACAACTAATCTGCAGACTAAAGCCTCGTTCAGCATTGAATTACACTCGCAATATCTAGGACACAGCTAAGATTATTTGTTAGTAAAATCATTAATCTACCAATTTCCATCTGGAAATTTATTAGTATAGAATATTAAGTTAATTAAATGTCATGCTGCTGAGTGTTAATTTTTAATTATTTAAAATTGTTAAAAGTGTGGTAAAAATTGATGTTTTTACTAATAATGAATGAATACACCGACATGATTAAAATTTATGGTGAAACATGCGGTAATGGCAGAGCTGCACAATGCCTGTATTCGCTGCGTTTTCCAAATCGTCGAACTCCGTCTGACCGAATATTTCCTCGAACTGAGAGACACCTGAGGGAAACCGGAAGTTTTAAACCTAATAAAGGAAACTGCGGGCAGCAAAGAAACCATAGGGTCCCACAGTTTGAAGAAGATGTACTTCATCTGGTTGAAGAAAATCCAAGAGCAAGTACCCGAGGAATTGCTCGTGCTTTATAAACACGCCATGTCAACGTGTGGAGTCACGGGTTGCCCGGTCGGTGGATTTATCCCCACTTGATTATTTCTTATGGAGTCACATGAAAAGCATTGTCTATGAAACCTCTGTCAATATGGTTGAAGAACTGACCGTTAGGGTTGAAGCCACAGTGGAAAAAATTAGAAATACCCATCGAATTATGAACAACGTTAATAGAAACATGATCTGACGATGTAATGTGTGCACTCAAGCCAACGGACGTAATTTTGAACAGTTTTTATAAATTTTAGTTGCTAAAGTGATAAAAAAAATATTTTTCAGTTTTTTAAGTTAAAATCCTATCTGTTGTTAAATTTCGTTAAAATTGTTAATTGTTACTACCTATTTTTTGAATTACAAAAGATTTTCGAAATGTTAGCAAAATATTTGTTTTTGTTCATCGACTTTAGAGCAATGAACCATGAGAACTCTTTTTGTGTAAAATTCATTAATGTTTCAGAATTTGCTGTCAAATGTTAATTTTTCCAGCGGCGTAAAAGTTAGGGGGGAAAAAACCCTTACAGTACCCTAAAATATCCACCACTGGCATGTCCAATAAATTCGAGAAGGGTGCGAAAAAGTAGCTATTAATAGTGGTAATGTGTGTACAAAATCTCAGTTCTGTAGTTCAAACGGTTCCTAAGATATTGGCAAAAAACTAAAAAAAAAAAAAGTTTTGCCACCCCGTATCCCGAAAACAAAAGTCCAAAGAGAAAAATGGAAGAGGGAAAAATGATTTCTCTTTCAAGAGGAATTTACAGTTTTCCGTTGCGACACTTAGGAACACCCTGTATATAAAGCTTCTAATGAAAATGAAAAGTATATTGATATTTTTTGTAATTAAAAATATTACAATATAATAAATCTATTAAAAATTATTATTATTAAAATTAATTAGCAACATGAAAACATCTTAGAAAGGTCATAAAACAACATAAAAGAAACATTTAATCAGAATATGAAGACATTTCTAGAAGGAAAACAGTTTTAAATGATTTAAACATTTTTAATAGCCATACTTTCATGTACCACATTTTTTTGATGTGTCACCAATTTTAAAATGCGCCTGTTTCAGTCTCATTGACATTCCTATAAGATCTCTCCAAGGATAAGACTGTGATTCTGTCACTAAATGGACTCTACATATTTTTTATTAATATTTCAGATATTTTGTTACTTTTTCAATGCATTCATAAATGATTACAAACCACGTGACCAGTAATTTTGTCTGGAATGGTAATTTTATTTCCTTCACGCTGGCAAATAAATTTCGGTAAAATAAAAACAATAAGATCAAAAATACATTAAAACATATTATTCTGGTTCATCGGTTGTGATTGGTGTAATTCTTCATGACATTCTATTCAATCAATCAGCAATCGCATTATCTCGAGCATAGATATATCGGTTTGTCATTATTCATTGAAAACAAATCATTAATATTGGTGATATCAAGATTTAGTCAATTTTTGTTACCAGTACCATTGTTGGGTTGCCTAAGCTCGACAGTCATGTGGCCTGTAAACATTGATGAAGGCTCTGTACTAGTTTCGAGCTATAAAAAACATATTTGGCAATCGATACCTTTATTGATATCCATTTTAATCAAATACTGATTCTTATACTCAACGACGCTTGTCAATAATATTAAAACCACTCCCATGCCTCTCATCCTCAACGTAAAATTGTTGTATATTGCAAGTTCCTGTGTAGACCACAACCCTATGGGATAGTGTATGTCGAAATTTTTCACCGTAGTATTTTCGGTATGGCATTCGTCACATTTAAAAAATAAACCTAACGGATGTCCAAGAATCGATCCGTAACTTATGAACATGGGATCGAATACTTTATCGAGATTGGTACTTTTCCACTCAAATATGGCCGTTGGTACGCCTTCAAAACCAAGTTCTATTTCACCTTTACGTATTTGAAGCCATAACTCTGTCCATTTACCTGTCGGCACAAAGCGATTTAATAGTTATTGGGTACATAAGACTTGACAGAAAAACATTTTAAGCTTTTACTGAGTGTATTTTATGGTGATAAGGCACGATGACAATACGAAACCTTATCCATAACCGACAAAGAGCCACTGGAAAAAAAATTAAATTACTTGTGTATTGTCTTGATAACTATCGTGAATTTATGTGTGTGAACATTGCTTTTTGACTTCATTTTTGTACGTAACTAATAAATTTGGCAATAAATCATTTCAGATTCATTTTTGAAATGTGGAAGAAGCGTTCATAACAGAGGAAATCTCCACTATGTAGTTCCGTTGTCGGCACATAGATAGTGCCACAATAAATTCAGTGTTAAAACTTCGTAGCTGGACTGAATTTGTCGGTTGTGGATAAAAAAAAATATTAAATAAACCGGTATTTTAATTATTTTGCAGTGGTCTCTACAATTGTTACCTGCAGATATGATATGTGGGAAAGTTTTTTGTTCAACCAACTCGTTATTATAATATAAAATAACTTTTTCGTTGTCGTTTGCACCTATCTGCAATTTAATGACGTCTTGTCCAAATCGGGGCTTAATAAGAATATCTAAACCATCGAGTAGATCTGGATTCCACTCTTTTACACCGAATCTTAAACCTCCATGGATTCCAGTTTCCTTCCACTGCGGAAGTATGTAAATTTTCCTATCTAAAAGTTGTATATAAATAATTAGCCTTAACTGTACTCATGTATTTCACCTGACACAAACGAAGACACAATAATAATACACTCTTCGGGCTTGTCGCAGTCTCTTACATTGCATACATCCTGAACAATGTCCACATCATTCGTAAAACACCAACTACCTGTAATATTTTTTTTCTCGGTACTTTTGTTCGATATGGATTTTAGTTTTTAAGTAAAACTATCTAAATAGCACACAC